TAAGCTTACCGTAAAAAGTAAAAAGGCAAAGGCTCGTACATGTATTAATGCGAACAAAAAAAGTAATAACACAGCTTTGCCATGTCTGCGTGAAACCCGGGAGTGGAACACGTGCTTTGGACCTTGGAATTCAAAAAATTGTCTACCAAAAATCTAGGTTGTCTGACATCCCCACATTCAAATAATAAATGTTCATCCAATGACAATCGAGGAAAAATATCTAGAACTTCGTCAAAAATCTGTGAATCAAAAAAGTAATAGATACTTAGCTATACTTGTTCACCTCCCTTGAAAACCAACAAAAATCTCGCCTACATCGCGTCGTTCAAAAGACGAAATAAACCACAAAATGTGCTGAATACTTCACGAGGCACTTCCAATATGTGTATGCCTCATGAAAAGTCTTCGAAATATGCGTGACAGCCTCGAAACGGTGACTCTGGTCGTTTAGGTAATCGATCCGCCATTTTCCTCGAGAACAATAGCTCCATGACGTCACATCTGCCCTTAAATTTAGGGATATTCTCTGGGATATTCCGGACTGATGAAATTTGAAGATTATAGAGGCTGGTTGTCATTCACAAAACTCTTTGGCTGCGTACAGTTACAGTCTCTAAAAGTTAAACAGTGGCCTCAAGCATATCATGTTAAGGCATGACCCAAAGCCGAATTTGCATAGACTGCAAAGAGTCATAACTTTAAGAGAATTACCGTGAACATGATGAATCTTGGTAATAACGTCAACATTGACATCCTTCTGTTTTTGACATTTTGCATTTCAATCACCTGCCTATTTCGGCGGTAAATCCCATGACCACCTGGACTGTTAGAGAGAGAAAGAAAAAAAAAACAACAACAACCAAGACTATTCTGTGGGTGGTTTCATTTGCAGCATAAGCGAACAGCTGTCGCATTTGCCAACTGGAATTTTTTATTTTTTTTAAGCCTAGAAATGCGACAGCTATACCCACATGTTGCAAATGAATGCACCTTTTCTTTCGACTAAATTTTAATGTCCAAATTGACGTGGTAACAGAGAAAGAACCGGCTAGAGTAAGAGATAAAAACACAAAGGAGAACCTGAGCCCATTTTACATTTGCAGATGTGAAGGAGGCTCGAGTTGACCTTGTTTTGTAACAACCCTTCCTGCTTTATGATGTACATCATGCTAATTAGTAATTTAAACAAAATTTGCGTTAGAAAAGGAAAGAGGTTTGTATCAAAACAAGGTCACCCTCAGCCTCACGTTCAGTCAAAGGCTACGACATAAGCTCACAACTGTAAAATGACCTATTTCGTTTGAAGATAAAAATGAAAATTTTGCAGCGGCAGTGAGAAAATGAGAAATCCTAGAGGCCACAAAGTTGAAAACAAGCGGTAGTGAAAAAAAGGAAACCGAAGCACATACGACATTTCCTCGATCCATAAAACGTGTAACTAGGAAGTTTCTGGAAGTTTCGCGTTGGCCGTATACACACTAGAGACGGATTATCCGTCTGAGACGGGTTATCCGTTGGATAATTCGCTTCAGGCAGATAATACGTCTTAATTTGAAAATAGAATGGTCTTAATTTTGGATGGACATTCTGCCTGACTTTATCCATCTGTTTTTCCGTCAATTTTTGACGGATTTTGAAGATGGGTTAGCTGTCTCTAGTGTGAAAACGGCCGTTGTAGTCGTGCAAAACAACGACATAGAAATGTACAAAAAAGAGTGCTGCACGTGCAATTATTTTTTGCTAATTAAACCTACCGATTTTTTGGCCGTTTTCGTTGCCGTTGCCAAATAGCATTACACAATTTTATATTTTGTATGAGTGAAATAAAAATATTAACGAGAGCTTCGCTTTTAGACTTGGCTAAGTCTATATATTTGACGTTGCATAAGTTTTTATTCATGAATTGACCTGTCAAAATTTTGCCCAAGCCGGGTGAGGGGAGACTAGGATGCTCCTGGAGTGTGACCAAAAGCGTGATCAAGCAAGAAGCAGCCTTAAAAATTTTTTTCGCTAAATTTTGTCGTTTGTCGAGTACAAGAAACATCAATCTAGATTTTTCACTCGAGCAACCCCGTTGGTTACCCATGACTGGAAATGGTAATTTTGCGCCAAAACGAAACGCAAGGTCCACGTCTGAAATCCTCTTCCCTACCCTACTGAGTTTTTTTTACTCCTAGCCTCAGAGTATGTACAAACGGTCTTTCGGGCGTACGCTGGCGTCTTTTCTCGGATCCATAGGTTTGTTCGATATATTAAAATTTTAACACGAATCCGAGGCTTTAGGGTCAAAATTGCAAATTTTTCAAGACTCCATTGTTTCGCAATTCCTGAAAGACACTTGAGCAGAAAGAAAACAAAACCTATTATAGAAAAATGACCAGGAAACCTCGGGGTCATGTTAGAATTTTAATATATCGAACGTGGGCTATTTTCTTTAGCTATGGGGCTCCGCTTTGCGTGCGCAGACGCTCTGCTATAAATGGACCGGGGCTTTGCTTTTAGGCTTAGCTAATCTGTACGTGCTATATAAAAATTTACTCACGTGCATCTCTCATATCAGGTCTTTTACAATTTGATTATAACTTTTTCTGCCTAGAAATGTGATAAGCGATACAAGACGAGATGGACGAATGACGATTCCCTTCCCTGTAGTGATGCTTTTGCTTGCACCAGAAATGACCGCTGCTTCAATGGCAGGTGTATTGGTACACGGTTCACGTGCCTTTCATGTGAAGAATGTTACAATGACGCATGTCGTGTGAAACCAGGATATTGTGCGATCTTGGTGGGCCGCTCAAAAACCTGCTTCAGCCATAGAAATCTCAGGCCACACTATCCATGCCAGGTCACTTCCTAACATTAGAATAACCTAGTATCCTTCAGGTTAATATATGGAGTAGACTTTCTCAAAGTCCTTTGTTTTACTGTTTGCTGTTCCGGTAGTAGGCCCCCCCTCGAAGGACTCCTTCAGCGTGCAAAATTTACAGGAGGAATTTTCCTCCTATAGGTTTAATACAATCGCGAACGGTTTTGCTGATGCGCCGTCAATCAACCCCAATCACGCCACGTGAAACGTGACTGAACTGATTTGATCCCAAAAGAGAGGAGAAGGTGTTACCTCACGTTGCCATGGTAGCAAAATTTCTGGATGACAAGAAACCGAAAACGTCACTTAAAAAGTGAATTTACGCTGTTTCAAATTCTTTCAAACTATGTCGATCTTATTCTGTTCCATTTAATTTGTCAAATGTTAGTGAAATCTTCTGGAATTGAATCCGAAAGGACCGTATTAAGTTTAGAAAAAGAAAAAGAATGTTTTTGTGCTGTGTTCACCAACTCCATGAAGCGGGCGCGTGAAATTAGGAAGTTTCATACAAAAAGCATCATGCAAGTGCAAAGTTGTTGTCTTGCTAATATAAACCATACTTTTTTGTCGTTCTCGTTGCCGTCGCCGTCGTCGTTGCTTAAGCACCTTATTGTTTTGGTCCCGAAATTTTACTAAGTCGTTCTTCTTCTCTATTCTAACTGAGATTCAATTATTTCGTGTTCAAGGTTTTCTTTTACATCGACTGTATTCAAATAAAAAGCCGAGTGCAAAGCTTTCTATCCAGAGAGGGGGTGAGAAGGGAAAGCTACTTTCTATACATTCTCTTAAATGAAATCCAAACGACGTTCTCACAAGTTGTAAAGCTGTCAAAGGCCTTGATAGCGGGTTTGTGTACTGATCATGCGCATTGCGTCAAGTACCAAGGATCAACGCTTTCCCTTTGAGAAGGAACAAAATCATCGCGGTCCAAGGCGGGACTGTTTCTCCCTATTTTATTTTGATAATTCGCAAATTTATTAATCTTATGTCGCTTTTCAGACATAGTATGTGGTTTTCTTTTTCTTTTGAACAGGAATTTGAAATATGCAACATATAGCAATAGTGCTTATAGCTGATAAGAATTGTAACCGCCGACGAGTTGAGCTATTGGTGTTTTTCTACAAACCTAAGAAAAGTGAAGGTCGCTTCAAGATACAGAACTTTCAGAAATAGTTTCGATTAATTTCATTAGGATCGTTTTGAGTTTTAACTTTGAATTCAAGGTCAATTGACTAAACGAACGACTAAACCTCATAGACTTACTTCTGATGAATTTGACAGTTTCTCCAGTAATTTTTAACAGCATCATAACTTCCATAATCTTCTGATTTCCTCGCCCAGTGAAAACGATGTACCTATATAAAACTCGATCGATAGTTCAGCGCGCGTTGTTGTCGGTTAAGAATTTACACGGTTGCAGTGACTGTCGTTTGTGTATGGTTTCCCTCGCAATTTCCGTACACCAAAAGGACAAATATTACGCAACTGTTTTTATTTTTGACATAGTTTGACAACTCTGCCCTGTGCGATTATCAGAGGAGAAACGAATAGTGGAGGCCAAGCATTGTATACATTCAAGGATTCCTAATTCAAGAAGACTTACACATGAGCAAGGCCTAAGTTCAACTGATTTATCGTACACTGATCACATGTCAGGATATATAGGTCGAGGCGGTTGCTAAGTAAGAGGATTAAGGGCTAATCCCACATTCCCCCTTCTAGACATTTTGGTGCTTCTATAAAAATGTCTCTATGCAAAGTTCTAGTGATAGGAAGCGAGTCAATAAAATTATCCGATCTCGAAACTAACCACCTATAACAAATGTTCTTTCAGTCCTTATCAAAACCTTATCTCTTGGGCGTGTTGACTTTTCTTCCGGAAAGAGTAGTGGTTCCTGGAACGGGAACTGGAATGCAAGACTTTTGAGCAGATGGTAAAGCTTCATTCTTCTCTTTCAGAACAGGTGGCTGATCCTTCGAAGTTTCAGGAGCATCGGGTAAAGGGCCTCCTGCTGAGTACTTTACTCCTTTAGGATTTGGATTGAGCGGCCGTCTGTTTGATTTCTTCTAACAGTTGCATTACTGTCAGTGTCGAGGTAATAGGAACGTGGCTCTGGTGTTTTGGCTACAACCAATGCGTTCTCTTTGCGATCAGGGATATGAAGACAATCGCCTAGTGACAGATTACTTCAGCTCTTTAACTGCATGTCGTCGGTTGCACTCTTTTGTTGCTCGGTCGCAAATTCGTTAACTCGGGCCATCGCGGTGTTAGTTTAGATAGGGTAGTTGGAGGGGTGGTGCGTAGTCGCCTTCCCATACATAGCTCGGCTGGGCTAAATCCGTTTTCAAGTGGGGTAGCTCAGTAAGCGAGGAGTGCTTCATATGAATCTCCAGTAAGGAGATTTTTAGTTGTTTGCACCATACGTTCGGCTTCTCCGTTGCTTTGGGAGTATTTTGTCTATTTTGGACTGCTTGTAATGTTTATGAATCCCCAGTCTTCTACAAATTTGGCGAATTCTGCTGAGGAATACTGTACTGGAAATCCATGGCGTGCGAAAATCGCTTTTAAGCAATTGATCACTTCTTGAGAGGTGGATTTCCCATTATCATGGGAAGTAGTCTACCAGGAGGACGAATTCTTGTCCTTTCCATTCGAATAGATCGGTTTCTACTTTTTGGGATGGACGCTGGGGTAACATGTGAAGGAAACATGGGCTCTGAGTAGCATTCGTCTTAATGCAAGTAGGGCATTCTCTGAAAAGGTCTTCTATCTGCTTGCTGAGATTCGGCCACCAGACAACACTTTTTGCCCTTTAGCGGCATTTCTGGATACCTTGATGACCTGTGTATATCATGTCTAATACACTGAGCCTTGATGCTGAGGGAATGATGACTCTGTCGTCTTTCATTAGGATTCACTGCTGAACAGTAATTTCTTCTCTGCCCTGCCAGTAACGTTGCAGTGAACCATTCAGCCTTCGCTGCGGAACATCTTAAGCTTTGAACAAACTTCAGGGGCACCCAACCACGGCTATCTCCTAATTGCATTGAAAACACCTTTTAGGCTATCCAGAGTACTTTTAGTTCTCTAGAAATATATTCTAAGTGGCGCTAAAAAATTTGTATCTGTTCTGTCATCTTAGGGCAACTTGAGTCTTTTCGAAATTAAAAGGGCTTCAGTACTATTTTCCCGAACATTTTAGTTGCAATTCAAAGTTTTTACGAAAATGAGAATTTTTCTGATTCCTCTCTGAATCGCATTTTTGATTCCGGAAATTTTAGGTTTCCTCTCTCTACGAAAAATAAATTAATCTGGGGAGTGAAATGGGAAACATTAAACTCCGAAAGCCGTAGGAAATCCATTAGATAAGCTTCGAAAATTGTACATGAATGGAACGGTCATCTAGAAATTTTTAGCCTTCCTCAAGCTTCAGAAAATTCTAGGCAATTTTTGCTTCTCCGAACAGATATTTCACCCAAAACAGTCGTTGGGTGCCCCCGAAACTTCATCTTCATCCTTATGAAGGTGTATTTCTGCAAACGACACTCTGTAGTTGGCAGGCATTCTACTATTACTACTATTTTGGTGTGGTGAGATCTTTTTCGGGTACATGGACAATTTGGTACGAGTAGCGCATTATGATCAGGTCAGATCCGGAACCTCTGAATACGTGGTGGCATGTCTTGGAGACATTTAGATCCTAGTAGCGGCACCAACAGCTTTTGGTCCGTTTCGATTAGAAACTCTTTACCGAGGACAAAGTCAGCAAACATTTCGCAAACCCAAGTAGTTGCTAGTGCTTCTTTCTCTATCTGGGCGTATCTTATAGACGTCACATAGGGCGCGAAGCGTAAACGATTGGCTTCTTTGTACTATCGTCTTGGACTTGAAGGAGGACTAGTGCTCCTAATTTATACGATGAGGCGTTCGCAGATATGAATGATAGTTTCTTTCTCGGAGCAGTAATGAGCGATAACTGGTGCTTGGATCATGTCTTTCTTCATCATCTAGAGAAAGATTCCTCTTGAGCTTGGCACCAATGCCATTCGTTCTTGCTTGAAAAAAGATCGCGAAGCGGCATAGTCTTCTCAGACAGGTTTTCAATGAACTTCTGTTGGTGGTTGATCATTCTCAGGAATTTTCTTAGTTCTGCAACATTTTGCGACCTTTCCATCTTTTCGATAGCTGCAGTCTTTTCTGGATCGGGGCCTATTCCTTGGGCGCTGAGACCATGGCCCACGAACTTCAATTGTTGCCTTGAAAATTCGCACATGTCTGGGTTCTATCTTGTTAAAACTGCTTCAAGTCCTTCGTGTTCTTTTTGCGTCTTTCCATGCACAATGGTGTCATCCACGATGCATATCACCCTCTCCAAACCTTCCAGCTCGTTTAGCATTCTCTTTTGGATCGCAAAATTATTCCCATGCCCGAGTTGACGATAGTCTTTCTTTGATTTCCAACATATGACAGTTTCTTGGTCCCTTCCTTTTTTGAGGATCATGCACGATCACTGAACTTTGCGAGGCATCTTCTTTGGCTCTCAACAACTAAGGGCAGAAATATTCTCAAAATCTCGACAATAAGCCAAAACCATCAATTCCAATTAATTTTGACAGACGGACTTAATCTTCAAATTCTCAAAAATCGCTGGCCTTCTAGCTAAAATAAAGTAATATTGTAAGCTTAAGATTTATAAGTTTATCTTTTCCGAGTAAAAAATCGTCCTCTGAGAGGACATATCCTTACTGGCAATGAATAGTCTGTACAATGTAAAAGGACGAAGACCGATATCTATAGTCCGGAGGAAAAAGATTCACCCCGTGTGCTCCGAGGACAATTATTTTCCTAAGGGAAAATTTAAATTATTTAATAGTCTGTTTCACTCAGTGTACGTTGCTTTTTCAATACGTTTGATTTCTATTGCCGATTTGTTTGCCGGGCTTTATCTGTGGGACGTAACGAGGATAAATTCTGCATCGTGACAAATCGCGCGGCAAACATTCTAGTCGTGTCGCTTGTCTTCTTTACTTGGCTTGTTTACGTTCGCACGCATTGCGTGTCTATTGCAACTTTGAATCAAAACAAGCGATCTCCATTTCTCTATTTAGTTTGGGCGACGCCCAAATAACAAGTCGAGCTACTGTCAGTTTTTCACTCGCTTATGGGGCAGAAAACATATTCTCGCGCTTTGCGCTCAAGAAGAAAATTTTGAGCTCGACTTGAGGGCATGTATAGAGTTGACTTGAAATTACGTGTAAGGCTTTTAAATACATACATGCATGAAAATTGAATAGCTTAACCAATTTTTTATCATGTAAAAAAATGGTGTTATTACTGCATGACCAAGGTAACAAAGTTTTGTAACAGTCACGTGGTGGGTTTTTCATTAATTGCCCCGTGATTGTTTGATAAATTAAATGGTGGTAAAAAAGAAACTGCACGGTTTCTGTAGCATAAGGCTCGCCTTCTTCGTAAAGTTTCTCTACAATTTCCTTTGTTAGGGCTTGTTTGTGCACTGTCGGAGCTATTTGGCCACATTTGCTCAGAGTTTTCAGAAAATTGCTGAGGGATTTATTGGCTTCATTAAAATGACTGTCGCCAACAATGGAAAATGGCTTTGAAAACGGAGGACTTTTTAAGTGACGATCTAACGCGGCTCGGATTGCGATAAGCGACTTTTTGTTGTAGTAACTGTCGTCACGTTTTCGTGCGGACAAGTTTGGAGGCATTTGTTAAGCTGAATTGGTGACATCTCCTCAAAGGGAGTTTTGAACTCTTCTTGCATCTGAAACCATTCTGTAAAAAAAGTAAGCTTATTTATAAACATGTCAGCTAACATTAAGTAACAAAAGACATAATTTGCATTTGTAAACAAAAAACTTTTTCACCGGTTTCATCGATAAAATTCAGGTTAAACAGACAAAGCTTTACCTGTGAAAACTGCTAGACCGAATTAGTCGCTTTTTTAGTGTTGTCTGGTATGGCCTCTTCATTTATTTTCGAAATTTCGTCGCTAGTTACCGTGGCAAACCGAGACTGAGCCATTTTTGTCGTACATGTAACTTGCAAGAGTTTGGCGCCGCTCGGCTGGAGGCGAATCAGTGAATAGTGCAGGATATTCCGAGATTGAGCAGCCAATCAGAGCGCGCGAAAAACACTATCCACTGTTTTAGCATATACTAAATAAAATTATTACAAACCAACAGCAGGACAAGCAGAGAACAAACAAAGACAAACAAATAGATAGACAGAAGAGACAATCACATAGACGGACAAACAAACAGACAATATAAGACAAACATATAAGCAGCAGTCAAACATAAATACAAAATTCAGAAAGTTAAAAGTCTAGAAAATTTAAATTAGACGAATTAAATAGAGGATAGGGGAGCACACTCCCAATACACCAGGCAGCCAGACAGCAGAAGCCACTATGCATACCCACCACTCTAAGATGAGCATGCACTGTAGACACACGTACCGTCCAGAAAGCCAAGCACATTGAGAGCACGCACCCCTCTCCTGAATGACTGAAGACTGGTCTTACTGCGTAGTTCCTGGCTTATCTTACCCCATATGTGTGGGCCTAAATATCTGATAGTGTGCTTGCAATACTAAACAGTATTATATCTTGGAACAGGAAAATCACTTCGTAAGTTATAATGCTTATCTTGCTGAAAAAACATGAATGAATTATTGTTTATTTACTAGCTTACAATCTCTAGATTCATTGTCTACTAGAATGTTGGAACTTTTGTCAGTTTCAACTCCAATGTCCATGTGGGCGCAAAGGTCTTTCATCCCCAATATCTCTCTCGCTCAAACCTCATGGCAATAGCTCTGCTCGGTGTTCGCGCCTTGAACTCTCCCAGGAAAACGAATCCATTCTCAAGCCTTATTGATCGTGTAACTTTTACAGAAACCTGATAATCATTTTAAGCTCTCAGCGATGTGTAGATAAGATAAGACAGTTAACTTGTTACCTTCATTCAACAAAGCGTTCTACTAACAGTCGAATTTCCACCAGCGGGGGTCTCTACTGCACGAGTGGTCCCAGTGTTGTAGCTAGAACTTGAAGACATATATTCTAACTTCTGCTACAAGTGCGAACGTTCAACTCTGCAACATAAGTAGCTTCTTTTTTGGACCTTGCTTGGTTGTGATGAGAATAACTCTAAAGCATTGACTATTAATATTGTTCCCTTTAAAAGTGGTGTGACCCAGGAAAAAGCACTAGTACGTGGTCATCTCGCGAAGGTGTGGCATGTGATGATGGTGACAAGTGCACACGAGGTGACACATGTCGTAGTGGCGAATGTACCGGCACGCCCTTCACGTGTAATTCATTTTGCCAATACTGTAATGGGAACAGCTGCGATCTTAAGACAGGATTCGGATTCGTGAACAGGTGCACCTGCAGGATAGCAGGTATACATAACTTCATAATTACTTCCACAACGGAATTTGAACTCAGATGTGAGAGCTTAAAAGACAAATTCAGTTTAATTCTCTTTGCCTACAATTTGGTGACTGGATACTCTGAAAAGAATACAGAAAATTAACCGATAGGGATCTTTTAATGAAAAAACAAAACAAAACAACAACAACAACAACAACAACAAAACCATGGGCTAAAATTTAATCCTGGGTTTAGCGCTAACGAACGTTCGAACAACTGGGCCCAAATCTAAAAGTTACAACCCTTTTGTCAAATCACTAAGACTTAAAATCAATAATTTTTTTTAAATATACATCTTGCTATGTTCATTTTTGCTTTAGCAATTAATATATATTTAAACCCTATGAATATGGACCATGAGGCGACTATACAAAGAAAGTGTTCGTATTTATTGGTTTTCTGCAAAAACAATTTTATTCCACAGACAAGTTTCTCACTCAAAAGTCGATTGTTTAGATATTACTTTTAAGTTAAAATTAAAAAAGCATTCAATGCCAAAATAGTTAAATACTGATGTCTACTACGGGTGACCGTATCAAGAGAGTTGAATTTAGCGAAAATGTAAGGGCTTTCCAAAGGACAAAAAAAAACTGTTACTGATAGCAAGTTGTCCTTTAAAGTGGGTGTCTGTAAATCGGGCTCCGGATTGGATTGTACATGACGATTGGGGAGAGCCTATTTATTCATCTTTAACTCTATCAATCAAACACAAGAAGGACTAGAGGACTGAAAAAGCAAATGCTTTTGTAAATCATATACTTTTGTTACAGGCAGGGACTATGAACACCACGCCGTAAATCCGTCAAACCAGTGTCAGTGGTGTGACTTGTATGACCCAACAGCTCGTGCTAACAGTGTCTGGTCAAACAAGAACCTGCCATGTAGTGACCATAATACGAGGACTAACGACGACCGGTGTCGTAATGGATTTTGCATAGGAACACCTTACAACTGCCTTCCATGTGAACGGCATGACGGAAGTGGCTGTCCAATAAAATCAGGGTACTGCATCATACAGAAAGGAAAACAAAGAACGTGTTATGCCAAGAATCAGTATAAACCAGGAAATCCTTGTCAGGTAGGCTGTAAAATTAGTGAATGAGGCTGATTATCCTAGAAAGAATTATGGAGATCGAGGAGGGTGTTATCCGTCGAAGCCGTAGGCCGAGGCGGATAACACCCTCCGAGATCTCCATAATTCTTCATATGATACGAAAGCCGAATTCAATAATTGTTTTATTATTCATTCAAAATAATTCCTAGTTTAAAAACAAAGCTAAAAAAAGTTATCTCTATTGATGTTAAGTTCACCTCCGATAGTGCACGTTTAGGGTTGTTCAGCTCCGCAAATATTCTCCAAATAGCAGATGTCGCTCTTCGAGTTGTGTTCTTGCTGTTCTTGCCATGTTTTAGCTATAATTTCGCCTAGTTCTTACTCTTGAAAGGAGTGAAATGTCCGCCATTTTTGTTTTCACAACCAAAACAACTCCACCTCGTCCCCAGGTGTTCTCGGTTAACGGTGCATTAACCTGCAAGAACGCTGCATTTTTGACGTCATTTCCTCTTTAAACACAAAATTCTTCCAAATTTGGTCATCAGTAACTGGTTATGGTGAGTTATGCGTTTGCTTTTAGCCAATCAGAATCCGGGAAATATTTTAAATGAATAATAAGTAGAGATTAATTCATAGAAACTGACACTTACGTATTTTTATTCACGAGTTGCAAAGCCGAGTCAGCAAAGGGGTGCATGAGTTTTCCGAAGTTTGCTAACGAGTGAGTAAAATACTCACATAGCACTTTCTATGGCGTAATTTGTTTATTGCCCCCGAAGAGATTTCGCCCAGACGGCAAATCACGGGGAGGCATCCTAGTAGCGCGCGTGTATGTACAATTGAAATATACAGTTAGAATGCGAGAAAAAATCTCGATTTGCTTGGTCAGGGGCCGCATGGAATCCTTGGGTAAGGTAATGTTGACGTTTCTATTGTTCGCGCGCGCAAGTAAGAGATGCTTAGGATGACGAAAAACACAAAATCCCCGAAGGGACCGCTCAGTTTGATTTTGTGACCCTTATTAATGTACATTCATACTTTGATACTCTTTTAAATAAAACAACTAAGATAGTAATATGTTCTCACGCATACTCATTAGAGACCTTTAGATTCGGGGAAGAGGACGACTACGAGTACGAGATTTGACTTTTAGTTTTTTCGCGCCTTCTCAAAATATAGACTTCCCGGAAAGCTTTATTTTACCATTTTTCACCAGAAACGTTAGCACTGTTATCTTTAGTGATGAAGGTTACGCGCTCACCCGACCGCAAAATGATAAAACTTCTAACATTTGATGTCTTGTTTTCGTCACCACGACATTCGCGCGAAAACTCGTAGCAGAACGACGACGGCTACCACTTTTTCCCGCCAAAATGACGCCGGCTCACACGCGTACACTACTTAGTATTGAGAAAATCTCGTACTCGTAGTCGAACCCCTCCTAGAATCTAAAGGTCTCTATTACCTCATCACGAAATATTAAGTCATGGGAAAAGACGCGACTGATGAGGCAATAGGCATGCCACGAGAAAACTTTAAAAAACGCAGAACTCGTCAACCACCACCAGCGGAGGTGGGAGGGTCGCGAAAGGCGAAAGAGTTCCCGGAGAACCGACCCTTGAAATGGCCACGATTTGAATGAAACCGCCGAATTTATACCAGCGGAGCGCAAAGCATCATGATCACTACAGGCGTGTACCAACACGGGAGAATGCGAACGGATTACATCAAATTCCGCTTCGAGCTAATGTATTATACAATGAGAATAGTATGCGCGCTCTGATTGGCCGAGAGGCGTGTTTACATGAGAGTATGTAAACACAGTTGTGACCGATGTCAAGATGTTTTGCTTTTCTCTCGTTAATCACGCAATGCAAGCAGGAATTTGAAAAAGTTTTTGAGTTGAAAACTTGACAGGTTTACTTTATATATCCATGTCCTCGTCGGTTGAAACTTGGAAAATCTTTGCAAACAAAATCCCTATTTTGAAAAGCTTCTTTTTTGCAAAACAAAGACTGATTACGCGTGCAAGACTTGCTATACAAGACTACGCGACTGGTAAAAATTTCTGTTTTAATCAGTGCCATAACAAAGAGATTTGCGTTTTTTCTAGGGAAAGTTAATTTATAAAAGCAATAGAAAACTTTTTCCTGTTTTTGCATAATAACCTCATGTTAATACTAAAAAAATGTTTTATTTCGCTTAATTTCGTTACGTGTTATCAATGACATTCTGCGGAGCAGGTGTTTTGAAAGTTATTGACCAAAAGACACTCGTTAAGCGCAGATAAAGTTATAAGGTGCGTATAACTGGAGAGTTTGCAAGACACTAATTTATCATTCAAAAATCAAAACAATTTGCCAGACAATCTTTCTCTCTCTTTGGGGGAATAACACTCAGTTCAAAGAAAATCAAGACGAGTGAATCAGCGGCTAGCTTACCACTAGCAGAGCGATGGACGATTACAAATATTCCCTACGCACAGATGTCCTTCTATAAAAAAATGACTAGAACGTGCGAACGTGAATTTATCAAGAAACCTTTCAATTTCCAAGGCTTACTTTCCGGCTATAAAATGATCTGTCTGTAAAGTAAATGCGGAGACTGCGAAAAATTCCAACTTCTAATCAGATCTTTTCTTATGGTTTAGAATTTCTCTAAACTTGGAATGTTTTGATTAAAGTTGTTTATATCGAACTGAATCAGTGCATTTAACCTTGCGTTTCCTGATTTTACTTCACCTATTGTATGGAATACCGTATTCCAATAAGTACCCAACCTCGAATCAGCGCCCAGTCTCGAATAAGCCCCCCCCCTTCTCTCTCTCCCACCCCACTCAAACTCAATAAATGCCAAACCCCATCCAAAAAGTATTAGGTGCACGAGAGTTGTATTGATACATACATACATACATAAACTTTATTAAAGTGTCAAGGTATTTAGCTGAAAGCTAATTGTGGACACTGTAAATAAATAAAATGAATACAATATAAGTATATGTAAAAATATTAAAAATATAGTCTTAAAATATCATTAATATATAAAAATAACATCAATATATAAAATTACTACAAACCAACAGCAGGACAAGCAGGGAACAAACAAAGACAAACAAATAGATAGACAGAACAAACAATCACATAGACAGACAAACAAACAGACAATATAGGACAAACATATAAGCAGCAGTCAAACATAAATACAAAATTCAGAAAGTTAAAAGTCTAGAAAATATAATTTAGACGAATTAAATAGAAAGGGGAGCACACTCCCAATACACGAGGCAGGCAGACAGCAGAAGCCACTATGCATACCCACCACTCTAAGATGAGCATGCACAGTAGACACACGTACCGTCCAGAAAGCCAAGCACATTGAGAGCACGCACCCCTCTCCTGAATGACTGAAGACTGGTCTTACTGCGTAGTTCCTGGCTTATCTTACCCCATATGTGTGGGCCTAAATATCTGATAGTGTGCTTGCAATACTAAACAGTATTATATCTTGGAACAGGAAAATCACTTCGCAAGTTATAATGCTTATCTTGCTGAAAAAACATGAATGAATTATTGTTTATTTACTGGCTTACTCGTTGTCTACTAGAATGTGGGAACTTTTGTCAGTTTCAACTCCAATGTCCATGTGGGCGCAAAGGTCTTTCATCCCCAATATCTCGCTCGCTCAAACCTAATGGCAATAGCTCTGCTCGGTGTTCGCGCCTTGAACTCTCCCAGGAAAACGAATCCATTCTCAAGCCTTATTGATCGTGTAACTTTTACAGAAACCTGATAATCATTTTAAGCTCTCAGCGATGTGTAGATAAGATAAGACAGTTAACTTGTTACCTTCATTCAACAAAGCGTTCTACTAACAGTCGAATTTCCACCAGCGGGGGTCTCTACTGCACGAGTGGTCCCAGTGTTGTAGCTAGAACTTGAAGACATATATTCTAACTTCTGCTACAAGTGCGAACGTTCAACTCTGCAACATAAGTAGCTTCTTTATTAGACCTTGCTTGGTCGTGATGAGATTAGCTCTAAAGCACTGACTATTTATTGTTCCCTTTGAAAGTGGTGTGACCCAGGAAAAAGCACTAGTACGTGGTCATCTCGCGAAGGTGTGGCATGTGATGATGGTGACAAGTGCACACGGGGTGACACATGTCGTAGTGGCGAATGTACCGGCACGCCCTTCACGTGTAATTCATTTTGCCAGTACTGTAATGGGAACAGCTGCGATCTTAAGACAGGATTCGGATTCGTGAACAACAGGTGCACCTGCAGGATAGCAGGTAGACATAACTTCATAATTACTTCCACAACGGAAAGTTGGTCATTGCAAACATCTGATTGAATTTTGCATGAGATACTTTTTTTTCCACTATATAGCTTTGGCTTTGATGTTATTTGAAGTGCTGAAACAATGATATACCTTGTCATACTGGGCCGGGTTGGTCGAAGATGGGTTAAGATAACCCAGGGTTAGTGCGAAATTTGAACTCAGATATGAGAGCTTAAAAGACAAATTCAGTTTAATTCTCTTTGCCTACACTTTGGTGACTGGGTACTCTGAAAAGAATACAGAAAATTAACCGATAGGGTTCTTTTGATGAAAAAACAAAACAAAACAACAACAACAACAACAACAACAACAACAACAAAACCTTGGGCTAAAATTTAATCCTGGGTTTAGCGCTAACGAACGTTCGAACAACTGGGCCCAAATCTAAAAGTTACACCCTTTTGTCAAATCACTAAGACTTAAAATCAATAATTTTTTTTAAATATACATCTTGCTATGTACATTTTTGCTTTAGCAATTAATATATATTCAAACCCTATGAATATGGACCATGAGGCCACTATACAAAGAAAGTGTTTATATTTATTGGTTTTCTGCAAAAACAACTTTATTCCACAGACAAGTTTTTCACTCAAAAGTCGATTGTTTAGATATTACTTTTAAGTTAAAATTAAAATAGCATTCAATACCAAAATAGTTAAGAACTGATGTATACTACGGTTGACCGTATCAGGAGAGTTGAATTTAGCGAAAATGTAAGGGCTTTCCAAAGGACAAAAAAAAACTGTTACTGATAGCAAGTTGTCCTTTAAAGTAGGTGTCTGTAAATCGGGCTCCGGATTGGATTGTACATGACGATTGGGGAGAGCCTATTTATTCATCTTTAACTCTATCAATCAAACACAAGAAGGACTAGAGGACTGAAAAAGCAAATGCTTTTGTAAATCATATACTTTTGTTACAGGCAAGGACTATGAACACCACGCCGTAAATCCGTCAAACCAGTGTCAGTGGTGTGACTTGTATGACCCAACAACTCGTGCTAACAGTGTCTGGTCAAACAAGAACCTGCCATGTAGTGACCATAATACGAGGACTAACGACGACCGGTGTCGTAATGGATTTTGCATAGGAACACCTTACAACTGCCTTCCATGTGAACGGCATGACGGAAGTGGCTGTCCAATAAAATCAGGGTACTGCATCATACAGAAAGGAAAACAAAGAACGTGTTATGCCAAGAATCAGTATAAACCAGGAAATCCTTGTCAGGTAGGCTGTAAAATTAGTGAATGAGGCTGATTATCCTAGAAAGAATTATGGAGATCGAGGAGGGTGTTATCCGTCGAAGCCGTAGGCCGAGGCGGATAACACCCTCCGAGATCTCCATAATTCTTCATATGATACGAAAGCCGAATTCAATAATTGTTTTATTATTCATTCAAAATAATTCGTAGTTTAAAAACAAGCTAAAACATGCTTACCTCTATCGATGCTAAGTTCACCTCCGATAGTGCACGTTTAGGGTTGTTCAGCTCCGCAAATATTCTCCAAAGAGTAGATGTCGCCCTTCGAGTAATGTTCTTGCCACGTTTTTAGCTATAATTTCGCCTAGTTATTACTCTTGAAAGGAGTGAGATGTCCGCCATTTTTGTTTTCATAACCAAAACAACTCCACCTCGTCCCCAGGTGTTCTCGGTTAACGGTGCATTAACCTGCAAGAACGCTGCATTTTTGACGTCATTTCCTCGTTAAACACAAAATTCTGCCAAATTTGGTCATCAGTAACTGGTTATGGTGAGTTATGCGTGTGGTTTTAGCCAATCAGAATCCGGGAAATATTTTGAATGAATAATAAATAGAGATTAATTCATAGAAACTGACACTTATGTATTTTTATTCACGAGTTGCAAAGCCGAGTCAGCAAAGGGGTGCAAGAGTTTTCCGAAGTTTGCTAACGAGTGAATAAAGTACTCACAAAGCACTTTCTATGGCGTAATTTGTTTATTGTCCCCGCAGGGATTTCGCCCAGACGGCGAATCACGGGGAGGCATCCTAGTAGCTCGCCCGTATATACAATTGAAATATACCGTCAGAATGCGAGAAAAAATCTCGATTTGCTTGGTAAGGGGCCGCATGGAATCCTTGGGTAAGGTAATGATGACGTTTCTATTGTTCGCGCGCGCAAGTAAGAGATGCTTAATTAGGATGACGTCAAACACAAAATCCCCGAAGGGACCACTCAGTTTGATTTTGTGACCTTTATTGTACATTTATACTTTGATACTCTTTTAAATAAAACAACTAAGATAGTAATATGTTCTCACTGCATACTGATTACCTCATCGCGAAATATTAAGTCATGGGAAAAGTCCGCGACTGATGAGGCAATAGGCATGCAACGAGGAAACTTTAAAAAACGCAGAACTCGTCAACCACCACCAGCGGAGGTGGGAGGGTCGCGAAAGGCGAAAGTGTTCCCGCAGAACCGACCCTTGAAATGGCCAGGATTTGACTGAAACCGCCGAATTTATACCAGCGGAGCGCAAAGCATCAAGATCACTACAGGCGTGTACCAACACAGGAGAATGCGAACGGATTACATCAAATTCCGCTTCGAGCTAATTTATTATGCAATGAGAATAGTATGCGCGCTCTGATTGGCCGAGAGGCGTGTTTACATGAGAGTATGTAAACACAGTTGTGACCGATGTCAAGATGTTTTGCTTTTCCTGCGTTAATCACTTGACAGGTTTACTTTATATATCCATGTCCTCGTCGCTTGAAACTTGGAAAATCTTTGCAAACAAAATCCCTATTTTGAAAAGGGTGCATTTGAAAAAGGCGCATTTGAAAACTGTATAGTTGAATTTGCGCGGTATAAATAAATGTTATTATTTGTTATTCTAAAGTTTCTTTTTTGCAAAACAAAGACTGATTACGAGTGCAAGACTTCCTATACAAGACTACGCGACTGGTAAAAATTTCTGTTTTAATCAGTGCCAAAACAAAGAGTTTTGCGTTTTTTCTAGGGAAAGTTAATTTATAAAAGCAATAGAAAACTTTTTCCTGTTTTTGCATAGCCTGATATAAACACTAAAACAATGTTTTAAAACACAGAAAAATGAATTCTTGCGCTTAATTTCGTTACGTGTTATGAATGACATTCTGTGGAGCAGCAGTTTTGAAAGTTATGGACCAAAAGACACTCGTTAAGCGCAGATAAAGTTATAAGGTGCGTATAACTGGAGAGTTTGCAAGACACTAATTTATCATTCAAAAATCAAAACAAATTACCAGACAATGTTTCTCTCTCTTTGGGGGAATAACACTCAGTTCATAGAAAATCAAGACGAGTGAATCAACGGGTAGCTTATCACTAGCAGAGCGATGGACGATTTCAGACATTCCCTGCGTATAGATGTCCTTCTATAAAAAAAAAAAGAGTAAAACGCGCGAACGTGAATTTATCAAGAAACCTTTCAATTTCAAAGGCTTACTTTCCGGCGGTAAAATGATCTTTCTGTAAAGTGAATGAGAGACTGCGAAAAATTCCAACTTCTAATCAGACCTTTTCTTAATGGTTTAGAATCGTTCTCTAAACTTGGAATGTTTTGATCAAAGTTGTGTACATCGAACTGAATCAGTGCTAGGAACCTTGCGTTTCCTGGTTTTAATTCACCTATTGTATGGGATAGCGTGTTTATTCAAGTAAGTACCCAGCCTCGAATCAGCGCCCAGCCTCGAATAAGCCCTTCCCCCCTCTCTCCCATCCCACTCAAACTCAATAAGTGCCCAACCCCATCCAAAAAATATCAGGTGCACGAGAGTTGTACTGATTATTAATTATTTACTGGCTTACAATCTCTAGATTCATTGTTTACTAGAATGTGGGGACTTTTGTCAGTTTCTACTCCAATGTCCATGTGGGCGCAAAGTTCTTTCATCCTCAATATCTCGCTCGCTCAAACCTCATGGCAATAACTCTGCTCGGCGTTCGCGCTTTGAATGCTCCTAGGACAACGAATCCATTCTCAAGATTTATTGATCCTGTAACTTTTACAGATACCTGATTATCATTTTAAGCTCTCAGCGATGCGTAGATAAGATAAGACAGTTTATCTTGTTACCTTCATTGAACAAAGCGTTCTACTAACAGTCGAATTTCCACCGGCGGGGGTCTGTACTGCACGAGTGGTCCCCGTGTTGTAGCTAGAACTGGAAGACATATATTCTAACTTCTGCTACAAGTGCGAACGTTCAACTCTGCAACATAAGTAGCTTCTTTATTAGACCTTGCTTGGTCGTGATGAGATTAGCTCTAAAGCACTGACTATTTATTGTTCCCTTTGAAAGTGGTGTGACCCAGAAAAAAGTACTAGTACATGGTTACCTCGCGAGGGTGTGGCGTGTGATGATGGTGAAAAGTGCACATGGGGTGACACTTGTCGTAGTGGCCAATGTACCGGCACGCGCCTCACGTGCAGTTCAGTTTGCCAGTACTGTAATGGGAACAGCTGCGGTCTTAAAACAGGATTCGGATTTGTCAACAACAGGTGCACGTGCAGGATAGCAGGTATACACATAACTTTATAATTACTTCCACAACGGAAAGTTGGTCATTGCAAACATCTGACTGAATTTTGAACGAGATGCTTTTTTACTACAGTGAAACCTTTATTAAGCGGACGCCTCCATTAAGCGGACGCGGACACCTAAGAAGTACCTAAAAAGGGCCATTTCTATTGTTGCCAACCTGTATTAAACGGACACTTGTAATTAAATTCCACCACCCAACATGCCAGACACCGGAAATGCGAAAGATTGCCTCGAATTGCCACCCACAAATTTTTCGATTTTTACATTAAAAAACGTGACTTAACGAACTTATTTGATTAGTTTCACAGTACAGGATTGTTTTCTATTTCGTTCTGTTTGTATAGAGCTTGTTTCACTCATCTGATTTCTTCAAATTTGAGTGGCAATCCATGTTTATGGTACTATGATCAATTGGTTCACTTTGATAAAGAAATTAATGCAAACGTCTATCGTCATAGTCTCTAGGAGTATTATAAACGCTTCCACTGTTCATTTGAATGGCATTTGACACCTCATATGACGACACATATCGAAACCTGTATTAGGCGGACACCCTGTATTAAGCGGACACTACAGCATTCCCCGAGGGTGTCCGCTTAATACAGGTTTCACTGTATATAGCTTTAGCTTTCATGTTATTTGAAGTGCTGAAGCAATGATATACCTTGTCATACTGGACCGGGTTGGTCGAAGCTGGGTTAAGATAACCCAGGGTTAGTGCGAATGATTTGGACTCAGATATGAGAGCTTGAAAAGCAAATTCATTTTAATTCTCTTTGCCTACAATTTGGTGACTGGATACTCTGAAAAGAATATAGAAAATTAACCAAGAGAGTATTTTTGATGAAAAAAAAAATCATGGATTAAAATTTAATCCTGGGTTTAGCGCTAACGAGCGTTCGAACAACTGGGACCAGATCTAAAAGTTACAATCCTTTTGTCAAATCACTAAGACTTAAAATCAATATATTTTTTTTAAATATACATCTTGATATGAACATTTTTGCTTTAGCAATTAATATATATTCAAACCCTATGAATACGGATACTCTGAAAAGAATATAGAAAATTAACCAAGAGAGTATTTTTGACGAAAAAAAAAAATCATGGCTTAAAATTTAATCCTGGGTTTAGCGCTAACGAGCGTTCGAACAACTGGGACCAGATCTAAAAGTTACGATCCTTTTGTCAAATCACTAAGACTTAAAATCAATAATTTTTTTTTAAATATACATCTTGATATGAACATTTTTGCTTTAGCAATTAATATATATTCAAACCCTATGAATACGGACCATGAGGCGACTATACAAAGAAAGTGTTCGTATTTATTGGTTTTCTGCAAAAACTTTATTCCACAGACAAGTTTCTCACTCAAAAGGTCGATTGTTTAGATATTACTTTTAAGTTAAAATTAAAATAGCATTCAATGCCAAAATAGTTAGAAACTGATGTCTACTACGGGTGTCCGTATCAAGAGAGTTGAATTTAGCGAAAATGTAAGTGCTTTCCAAAGGACAAAAAAAAACTGTTATTGATAGCAAGTTGTCCTTTAAAGTGGGTGTCTGTAAATCGGGCTCCGGATTGGATTGTACATGACGATTGGGGAGAGCCTATTTATTCATCTTTAACTCTATCAATCAAACACAAGAAGGACTAGAGGACTGAAAAAGCAAATGCTTTTGTAAATCATATACTTTTGTTACAGGCAAGGACTATGGACACCACGCCGTAAATCCGTCAAACCAGTGTCAGTGGTGTGACTTGCATGACCCAACAACTCGTGCTAACAGTGTCTGGTCAAACCGCCCTGCAATAACTTGTGACGATCAAGATGCATGTACCAAGCAGGACACTTGTAATGCCGGCAGGTATGTACAGTTAGGCGTTCGTACTCATAACTGGAAGAATATCTATGTTTTGACAACTAGATTCCAGTTTGCCGTGGGTCCGGGACATAGATCATAGCGGAGGCGCCATTGCTATAAAAAATGAAAACCCATCGATGCGCGAAAATTTAGTTATGACGTCAACTTTCGAACGCCCGCCCGTAGAGACTATAAGGGTAGGAAAGGGATATGAAGGGATTCTTAGACATGCATCTTGCGTTTGTCTAGGCAAGAAATAAGCAGTTCAGAGGCAACCGATAGACTTACTCAAGTAGAAATCTAGATTGTTTCTTGACTTTGACTTACGACAGAAAACGTCGAATTCAGTGTCATTAATACAATTTTAAGGGTTTCCTTTTCTCGGGGCCAATCTAATCTCAGATTGGTCAAAAATTTTTTTTAGAAACTGTGCAGTATCTTGAAATTTGTTTACCGACAAGTAAACTGAGGCTTTGTGTAATTTAAAGACTCTAACTTTTGTATACTTTCAAGCTTACGTACAACGGTCACCCTTAGGAAATAGCAAGGAGACCGTTATATACAGGGTGACCGCTAAATACAGGTCAACTTTGTAGGAATTCATATAAGGTAACTGAACATTTTTGGAAGTAGTCCAGGGTAACCGCTAAATACAGAGCCGTTATATACAGGTTTGACTGTACTTCTTCCGTCTTTCGGTACAAAATGAATTCTGTTGTGGAACAAAGCTGGTTTGATAGTTTGTCTGTCCGGTTCTCTGTTGAGGGAAACGGGCCATTAGGTTATTTCCTTTTATTTATTTTTACACAGGTCATGTTCACGCGTCATCTATTTTTCGTCCCTCGCTGGTAGTCACATGTCTGTGAGAATGATATAATACTGACCTCCCTTCTCCATTCCATTCAAAGTTGTTCCTCCAAGTTTGCTAGAAACTTTGATAAGGGGTGGAGGGCGGATCACAAGCAAAAGATCATGGACAGGCCATTTAAGCCAAAGTATGGTACAGTGTCTTAAGTATTTTTGCAACCAGTTGTTGCGTTGAAAGTCAACGGGATTAATCAAACTTCCTTTTCGAAAGTTTCATAGGCTTTCAGAGTCAAGAAATACTGTTCTGACCTCACTAACTGCCTTTTAGAGCTGACATTGATTGTTTCCTTCTCTAGATGTTTTGGGCAGGGCTACTCTTGTCAATCTTCCTTTCCATCCTCAAGTTGTATCCAGACATCTGTGTGTGTTGGTGATGGTAATTGCAGATTTACCATGAGGTCACGTAGAACAATATGCCGCGCCGCTGCGGACATTTGTGACAAACCAGAGAGGTAAAATGAAAATAGATTATTTTAATACGGTGTACTAGTGATAGTTTTCAGATCAATTTTACCTCTGAGACGAACCATCGTTTTTCAATTCTTTTTTCCTGGGGGCCAACCAGTCGTATGTACTGCAAAGCGCAAGTTAATTAAATTGAATGGCAGTTTCATAACCCGAAATGACGTTTTAAGTCATTATTAATTAATATTGCTGATTTATGTCTTGATGGAAGGTGTAATGGTGTCTATGGAACATGTCCTGGAGCAGTGACAGATAGCGTTGTGTTAAAAGCCGGCCAAGTACAGTTCATGGACTCAAAGTTTAACACGGTCGTCAATTACCAGTACTTTACTGACAGGGTGTTTTTGGAGATAACTGGATTCCTTGCGTCGTGTGGAAAGATTCATCTTACATGGTATCTACTCTCTGCAATGTCACCTTGCTCTTTAAATTCACCTTTTAGTGGTTCTTTGTCAGGTACCAGCAGACATCAGACCGTTTATGGACTGAAAATGAAAGATAACACAAAATACAAATTTGCCGTCAGAGCGTCTGACATGAGACGTAAGGTACATAAAGTAGTATGCACTGGCGTAATAGTCATGGATACATCAAAGCCACAAGGTGGATGGATCCGCGATGGACCTGCGAGAGATCTCAGTTACCAATCTTCCAAATTCCTCCAGGTAAATTGGGGAGGGGTACAAACAAGAAATGGTGTTGCTAGCTACGACTGGAAGGTGCGTAGCATTCCGTTTAAGAGCAATCAGTTCACCGAAGTTATGCCATTTAAGAACGCAAACCGAAACACAAACGCCGGAATATCCACCAGCAGCGTTTCGGACGGTTCAAAGGTATTTTTCATTGTCCGAGCGTATACGAAGGCGGGATTGTTTTCTGACCTTACAAGTGACGGCGTTGTCATTGACACATCACCACCAGTGCCAGGAAAGGTCTACGATGGCTACCAGTTTAAGTCAGACTTGGAATTTGCTAACTGGGCAAGTACCTTCAGCGCCAACTGGGACCGATTTATTGATCCCCATTCTCCTATTTCACGATACAAGTGGGCGGTGCTAAGACTTGGATCTGGGCTTATTACCCAGTTTATGACCAGCACGCGTAACCGCGCTACAGCAAATAACCTCAATCTTGTTTCTGGGGAGAGGTACTGTGCAATTGTCAGAGGCTATAACGAGGCTGATCTTTACAACCAAGTCCGATCAGACTGTGTGTTGATAGACCATGATGCTCCGCAAGCTGGTATTGTCAACGATGGACACTTCCGCGATTTAGACTTCCAAACGGAGGACACCATGATAGCAGCTAATTGGAATGGATTCAATGATGGAAGGAAAGGAAGTGGAATCGTGGTGTACAAATACAGAGTAACAGAAGAAGATGGAAGCACAGTAGTTCCATGGGCATCGGCAGGCAATAGAAGAAACATTAAGCATAACGGGCTGGTTTTGAAGAATGGCGCAAAATACTTTGTTACAGTAAAAGCAGTCGATGCGGTGGGATTTAGTACTGAAATCACCACGGATGGCGTTACAGTAGACACAACACATCCTGTTTTCACAGGAAAAGTGACTGTAATAGGAGTAGATGACTTGATAATCGGAAATCCGTGCGTTTACACATCAAGTACATCTTCAGTAACGGTGGAGTGGATTGGTTTCTCTGACGTACATAGTGGACTTCAACGATATGAATGGGCAATCATCCCCTCCGTCAAGTCACCGTCAAACACTGACTTCGCAGAGGTATCTCGATCCAATCTTCGAACGTCTGCAACATTCCACAATCTAGCACTTATTCAAGGTAAAGAATATTATGTCATCATAAGAGCGTACAATAGAGCTAAGTTATATAAAGACGCGTACTCAGTCCTTGTGATACCCGACTCCACCCCTCCATCCCCTGGAGAGGTGTTCGACGGACCAACATACAAATTGGATGTTGACTATCAGGCGACGATTCATCATGTTTATGGGTCTTGGTCAAGTTTCACTGAGCCTCACACTGCAGTCAAGCAATACTACTATGCTGTAGGAAGCTGTATCTCTGGAAACTACCATGTTACTGGAAACGGATTTGTTAAAACTGACCCTCCAACGACTTCTTCATTTTTGATAGAAAACATTACACTTGTTAACGGTCAACAGTATTGCATTAAGATTAAGGCTGAAAACAAAGCTGGGTTGATGAGTTCTGAAGTATCATCAAATGGTTTTGTCGTTGACATAACACCTCCAAACACTCGGAAAGCTCAAGTGCGTGACGGAATCACGGGTGCGGATATAGATTATCAAGCTAATGCCACAGCAATGTCAGCTGAATGGGATGGTTTCGTAGACCTAGAGTCTGGGATCCAGTATTATGGATATGGCGTAGGCAGAAATCGCGCTAGCACACCTTATGTTTATCCATTAACAACTAATGGCCTTAAAACTTCAGCGACTGCAGGTGGCCTATCGCTGACAGATGATATCTACTACTTCATAGTTTGTGCTGTAAATAATGCGGGGTTACGAAGCTGCATTAGCTCTGATGGAGTACTAATCGATTTGACTCCTCCAAGCCGTGGTGTAGTGCACGACGGCATCACTGAGCCAGATCTGCAGTATCAGTCCTCTCTGTCAAGTATGGCTGCCAACTGGAAAGGAATCTGGGACTTGGAGAGTGGTATTGAGAAGTTTGAGTGGAGTATTGGAACCAGTGCAAGTGATAAGAACAGTGTTCAAGACTATGTCGATGTTGGTCTCTCTACTCACGTTAGAAGTCCATCGGCTCTTAACTTATCAAGTGGGACAAAGTATTATGTTCATCTTAAGGTAATCAATAAAGCAGGAGCTGTCATTGAACTTGTTTCAGACGGTGTTATAGCAGATGGGACGCCACCAATACCGAGCACAATCCATCCTGGATTTGGATCCCTAGATGAATGGATATTCCGTGAAGAAAAGAATGCCTTCTACTCTGCTACGAGCTCAAGCATCGCTGTTTACTGGGACCAGTTCTCGGAGCCTGAAAGTGAGGTCTGGTACTATAAATGGTCAATAGGTACAAGCAAATGCGGTACTCAAGTTCAACCACTTATTAACATAGGCCGGTCAAACTACGCCAACACCACGACGACAAACCTCTTTTTTAGGCCTGGCGTGAGATATTATGCCAGCGTGATGTCAAGAAACAAAGCTGGCCTAGTGTCGAGGGCTTGCTCTGATGCGCTTGTCTTTGATAGCAGTCCACCGCTTCCAGGAATTATTCACATAAAACAACCGCCAGGAAGCAATATAACTAAAACTTTCATTACTAACAACAGTGCGGCTATTTATTGGGAAGGATTTAGTGACCCAGAGAGTGAGATACAACGATGCAATATTTCAATTATTGACCAAGCTGGCGACATTAAGTTCGAAGAAACCTCCAATTCATCTTCTGGGTTTATCATGATACCTGACAACGTCCTCTTCGTAGGTGGTCAATACAATATTAGCGCATATTGTATCAACAATGCAAATCTTGCTTGCTTGTCAAGCTCAGTGTTTATCGTTGATAACACGCCACCAGTTCAGTCTGGTCCTATTGTAACGGGTATATCATGCGATGGCGCTTTACATTATCAGTCTGATGACAAATCTATTAAAGGATCCTGGCTACCGTTCACGGACCCTGAAAGCGGTATACAAAGATATTATGTGGCAATTGGTTCACAACCTTACCAAGATGATATCGTTGGTTTTGAAAACGTGTACCTCGCTGCTCGCATAAACAAGACCGACCTTACTCTTTCTCAAGGCGTTGTATACTACATCACAGTTGTAGCAGTAAATCGTGCTGGATTGAGCACGAACATATCATCTCTTGGCCTTTTGATAGACAAAACGCCCCCTCTTGTCGACAATGCTGATATCATAGATGGTATGCATGGTGCAGACATCGACTACATCTCTCCTGATACTGTACTATCGGCCCACTGGGAAAAGGTAGCCGATCTCGAAAGCGGTATTATGCAAAGCCAGTATTGTGTTGGAACCAAACCACTTGGTTGCCAAATAAAACCAATCACCAGTATCGGTAGAAATTTGTCCTTTACTTGTCCAGATTGCATCATTCAAGAGGGGATGAGATTGTATGTAACAGTGCAGGTGACAAATGGTGCTGGTCTAAGTGAGACACGACACTCTGATGGAATGTTTTTGGATGTTAGTCCTCCGCTAATGGGCGATGTTCATGATGGAAGTCATGTAACTGGAATGGACTGCAATGTAGTTCTTGAAAAATGGAATATTTCTGTGACTTGGTTTGGGGTGGAAGATGATGAAAGTGGCATACGTTCTTGCAAATGGACCATTGAAAGTGACAATGGAAGGATATTTTATGGGGATAACATCAGCAATACCTCCATTTATGAAGAACGAAATTTATTCTTACTCAACCGGACATACCAAAATCTTCTTGTCATTACCAACGCGACGTACTTCAATGTTTTGACCTGCATCAACAGAGCAGGTTTACAATCCACCAAGCGTTCTAATGGCTTCCAAGTAAGAACCATATGGCCTATCCCAGCTGTTGTAAGGGATGGTACAACCCAAGGCAAAGATTCAGCTTATCTAACAAGTTCCAAAATCGTAAGTGCCAATTGGGATCCATTTTTTGACGATGAAAGCGACCCTGTTGTCGACTACGAGTTTGCTGTCGGGACACTGACAGACAAGGAGAGTGTCCTTGGCTTCACTAGTGTAGGGTTGGTGAAGATGGCTGAAATAGACTTGGCCCCAGGCATTCCTGATCTTGAAGTCTTAGATACTGGTGCGACGTATTACACAACCGTTAAGGCGACTTCTTTGTGTGGTCTTAGTTCGACGAAGCGCTCTAATGGCTTTATTGTAGACCCTAGCCCGCCAATGCAAACGGAACTTTTAGTGTCACACAAAGTGATCGATCAGATTGCACGGACAGTTGAAATCAGTGTTTCGTGGGATGGAGTCAGGGATAGCGAAAGTGGCATTAGCAACAGTGAGTATTGTCTAGGTACAACACAAGGCAGTTGCGAAAGAGACCTTATTCCGGTGGGTCTTTCTACGTTTGGAACCATTGGTCCCTTTCGGGCTTATCCATGGGTTCACTATTACGTAATCGTCGCGGTTACCAATGGAGCTGGTCTGACAACAGTTATGTCCTCAAGGAAGTTATTTTTTGACACCACTCCCCCATCCAAGGGTACTGTAATCGATGGTATCGGCCCTGACATTGATTACATGAATTATACCAGCTCTTTGTCGATTCAGTGGAAAGGAATTCACGATCAGGAGTCAGGTATTGCAAATTGTTCATGGCATCTTATTGAACAGTCTTCCTCTGAAAACAGGACTGCATTTGAAAATGATACTGTTGTGTTAACACAACCCGTGGAAAGCAAAGGAAACCTCACACGTGAGAATCTCAGTCTGATACCTGGCGCCCGTTACGTCAGCAAGATCGCGTGCTCCAATAACGACGGTTTTATCTCTACGTCCTTCTCTGATGGTGTTGTTGTAGACGTTACTTCGCCAAGGGCTGTTCTTGTGCGAGACGGGTCATCTCTATCAACTGACGTGGAATATCAGTCATCTACAACGGTAGTAGAAGCAATATGGAGCCCCTTTGAAGATCATGAAAGTGGGATCAGCGAATACAGGTGGGGCTTAGGAACAATGCCTGATGATGTTAGCATCGTGAAATTTACTTCTACTGGAAAGGAAACCACGGGAAGAGCAGGGAACGTCTCTCTTTCCCATGGCGTAAGGTATTACGTTACTGTGCAAGCTACAAATGGTGCAGGGATGACGTCACATGGTTGGTCTAGTGGGTTTACTGTTGATGTAACTCCTCCTGAGATCACGGAGGTAAGCAAAGCTCACAAATATTTCTCCTACATCTAGGTGCAATTTGCAGACGTAAACCACAAAAAAAATCGAACGTATTTAAAACAGTGATTATTCTATATAACGGCTAAAATCAAACCTATGCCCGGCGGAACTACCTTTGCTGACCAGTAATAACATTTGTGCCTGTTTATTATGCAGGTATCGGCTGGTTCAGAACTTTGGATTGGCCCAAAAGATCATCTGCATGCTACGTGGAAGGTGCAAGATCTCGAAAGTGATATTAGCAAGACTGAGTATTGCGTTGGAACGTCACCAGTCGGATGTCAAATAAAGTCCATGACCGAAATATTTCCGAACTCAACAAAAGTGTCTTGCAAAGACTGCCGCCTTAATCATCATGGGACGTACTTTGTCAGCATCAGAGTCACTAATGGAGCAGGGCTTTCCACTGTGGCAGTAACAAACGAAACGAAAGTTGATATGACTGCCCCTGTCCTCTATGGTGTAGTACCCCAGTCTAGTGTTATTTCTTGCATTTCAAGTTGTAAATTGGTTGCAAATATCACTGGTGTCCAAGACGAAGAAAGTGGCGTCCGATCCTGCAGCTACGCCATCAGAAACAGCAGTTTTATGATAACGGACTTCGTCGATATTGGACTGAACACAACCTTAGTAGCTACAGATCTAGAGCTGCTGAATTGGCAACAGTATTACACTGTGGTGAGATGTGAAAACAATGTTGGACTTACCGCAGAGAGAGTCTCTTCTCCAGTAGCTGTTGACAACACACCTCTGTCACAGGTATGGATTCTTCCTCACAGATAAAACAATAATTTATAGGTTTTAAATGGACCAATTAAACTTATTTCAATTTCAGAAGCAAACTGCCTTTACCATATTGACAAAAATCACGATGCGTAGTAATCCTTCATGTTTGTACTAATTGCTCCCACATAGTTAACACGCCTTGGGTTTTTTATTTCCAGTACTTAAGCGTCCTTGGGCAGTTCCTTTAAGTCTTGTTAGCGGAGCCTCCACTTCTAAGGAAAATTGGAAACCCATTGATGCAGGAAAATTTGGTTATGACATCATCGCACGTATCTGCGTACGTCCGTACGTTCTTTCAGTGTAGTACTGAGTAGATACGAATTCCTCCCCCTTCCCCAAGAGAGTTTTGTTCCATGTTGCTTTAAAAGGCTTTAGAAATGATTGACCGATCAGAATCTGTCTAGTGAGCGTATGTTGGTTTTTAGCGGGTAGGGGAAGACATACCTTTGACACCTTTATGAAGGACATACATTGTCAACAAAATGGCTACACGATAATAATATATAGATTTAGCCAGGGCTAAAAGCGAAGCCTCCGTTTATATACTTATAATAATACCAATCAAATTTGAACTAACAAGCTCTAAGCCACTAATTGCCTGTTTACATGGAGGTGGGGGACTAGCTCTTGGAAGGTGAGGTAACCCGTCTGTCCATATAATCTCTCATATGGTCACCCCACCTATCATCTAAATGTAATAAAAATAAAATGAGAGATTATTTGGTCGACAGGCTGGTTACCTTACCTTCCTGAGGTCCCCCACCTCCATGTAAACAGGCCCTAAAAAGTAATCTTGAAATCTTTAGGAGCCTCGAACAGTTATGCGTAGCCTTTATATCTATAGCGGAGCTCTGGCGCGCGAGGCGCGCCTGCGGCGCACCATGGGTGAGAAAATCTACCCATCCCAGAAAATTTGGTAATCACGTGACCGTACACCACCCGCCCGCCCGCTGCCCGCCCGTCCGTCCGCACCACAGGGCAACCAATGTTCAATCTCACACTTTATAGGAAGTTTGAGAGCACGAGACTGATATTGCACACATCAGGAGCCGATTACTTGGAGCCTCCATATGTGCTGTACCCTTGAGTCAACCCATTCCCGTAAAGAATTATTTTTAGAACAGGCTTTCCCGCGAAATTAATGTGTTTTCGAGGACGTCCGCATGTTTCTGTAGTGAGAAGAAAATGGCGACGAAAGAGGGAAATTGGGCAACAAGTTTACTCCTTGTTCCATCACTGCAGCTCCTGCCTCCGTTCCTTCCCTTAAAACCGAGGAAAGCTGGTTTCGAGTTAATATAAATAATATGTAATCTGGCTTAAAAATATTGCTATATTTCGTTGCAACGCACGAGGTCGTGTTTGCTGTTGTAGCACTGTTCGTATGTTTAAACTAGTTTTGCTCGTAATGTTGTATTCCACCGCCCTTATTGCCCCCTTAGGGTTCCGGCCCAGAGGCTGGAACCCGAGGAGGCACCCCTAATTTCCCCCGTGTAAAGAATAAGTATCGTATTGTCGTACTGTTAGTATGCGAAAATTTTCTCGATTTGATGAAACTAGGCGCGCACGGTGGTCCCGGTTAATTTTGGGCATATGCGCCTGGCTCAGCAACCGCGGAAACTGAGTTTGGCAACGAGTCGCATCACAGGCGGCCCAGACATAGTATGTGTAAGATGAATATATTAATATTCATATGGAAAAAATAGGATGAGTCGTCGAAACTCTCATGAACTAAAATAGTCCAAAAGTCAAAATATAACAAAACAAAGCTAAGATACCTTTAACTGAATGTCTCCTTCTTCTTCCTGGCCGGTTAAAGTGGCATTTTGTTGAGTTTTAAAATCGTAAGTACTATCCACTAAAGAAGAATTAAAGGCTGGCTACAAACAGCTACAAAGCAAACGGACCATCTCCACGCGCCTTCACGCGAAGCGCTATAAATTCGAGAATAATCGACGAACCCGCTTTAAATTACCATCGGCTAATCTGCAGGTAACGTGTGCTCCTGCTTCTTGCTCGCTGGCTCCACAAAACCCATCGCAACTGCACAATAATCGCTCGCTCATCAAGAAACATTGTTGACCTTTACGCTTCGATATGACCGCAAACTACCCCACGTGAATATTCAAGCTTAGCGACCGCGTCCGCGCGACAATGCAGCACTTGCTATGGGAGGGATGATAATATTGCTTCTAGGTCAATCAATCGGGAAAAAAATATTGACGCCCTTGTAATTTTCAAAAAGGTCCAATTTGCCCTAGGATATCCGAACAGATACGAATTTTATAGCAGAGCTAAAAGAAATGAGCGGCGGTGGAAAAAGTGAACAGGAACATGTACCACATTTCCTCCATAAAACGTGAACAGGAAGTTTCTTGACGTTTCACGTTGTAGTCATGCAAATCAGAGGCAAGGAAATATACAAAAAAGAGTGCTGCAATTAGACCTATTGTTGTTTTTCAGAATTCTGGTAAAAAAAATATACCGAAATATTCAACAAAATATGCCAATACAGTCGCTAAAGACACAGGCGGCCCAGACGTAGTATGTGTCACTGAATGAATATATTAATATCCACATGGACAAATTATTGCGATGAGTCGTCGAAACTCCCATGGACTAAAATAGTCTAAAAGTCAAAATATAACAAAACAAAGCTAAGATACCTTTAACTGAACGTATCCTTGTCTTTCCTGGCCGGTTTAAGCGGCATTTTGTTGAGTTTTGAAATTGTAGGTACTATCCACTAAAGAAGAATTAAAGGCTGGCTACAAAACAAACAGACCATCTCAGGGTTCGAAATTAACTTTTATGTCCAGTTGCCCCTGGGGCAACCACAAGACTTGGTTTCGTTGCCCATAGAATATTTTGGTTGTCCAAGCTCTTGCCCCAGTTCAAGCCAAGAAACTAATACAGGTAGCTAAACAGTGGCTTTTATTAATTTGAACAAGAAAATGAAATACAAATACAGTGAACTGTATTCAAGAGTATCTCAATAAAATGTTTTGACCAGCCTGTGTCTCCTTGTTTTTTCGCTCCCAAAGGCCGATTTATCTTTCGAAAACTGTCCGCAATAACTGCAAAACATAGCGTTTTCTTTCTCGTCAAATTTCGGCCAGGGTCTTCTAGTCTTCCACGACTCTTGAAATGTACGACACCTTTTTCTTGAACTTTCTTGCGCCTCGCCTAATTCTGCTGTAGATTTTGCGACACCCGTAGCATTGCTTTGATCATCATCTTTCTTCGTGGCTTCCAAATTGTTGTTATCGCCAACGGCCTTCACTTTCTCACGGCCGAAGTAGCGGAAGAGGCTCATGCTAACTAAGATGATAATAATAAGATGAATGGTAAATTGCCATCGTCAAAACAAACATGGCGGCATCACAGAGCGGATCTCACTAGTGCATCATGGACTATGTTTACTGGTACCAACCGTTGATTAAAGCACAACAGTCTCATTCAAATAAGAATGTTGTGCAAAAACGAACTTCGGTCTCCAACGGTAGTGTACGTGATACTTTAGTATTTCTTCCGCGTTTTTTTTTTTCTTTCCACTAACTTAGTTTAGGTATCGCTTACTCTCCAAAGACAACAAGCTGTTATATTTATTCAAATCTATCAAGTCTTCATTAAGGACTAGTGCCACGACAGATTGGGTTGCCCAAGGGGCAACCACTTAGCACAATTTGGTTGCCCCATGGTAATTTTGGTTGTCCGGGACAACCGGACAACCGTTAATTTCGAACCCTGTCATCTCCACGCGCCTTCACACGAAGCGCTATAAATTCGAGAATAATCGACGAATCTGCTCCAAATAACCATCGGCTAATTTGCAGGTAACGTGTGCTCCTGCTTCTGGCTCGCTTGCTCCACAAAACCCATCGCAACTGCACAATAATTGCTCGCTCATCAACAACCACTGTTGACCTTTACGCTTCGATATGACCGCAAACGACCAGGTTTAATACGCGTCGTGACGCGACGTGAATATTCAAGCTTAGCGACCGCGTTCGCGCAACAATGCAGCACTTGCTATGGGAGGGATGGTACTATTGCTTCCAGGTCAATCAATCGGGAAAATAATATTGAAGCCCATGTAATTTTTAAAAAGATCCAATTTGCCCAAGGAGCACCGAACAGATACGAATCTTATAGCGGACCTAAAAAAAATGAGCGGCAGTGGAAAAAGTGAACAAGAACATATACCACATTTTCTCCATAAAAAGTGAAAACCAGGAAGTTTTCTGGACGTTTCACGTTGAAGTCATGCAAATCAACGGCAAGGAAATGTACAAGAAAGTGTGCTGCAATTAGACCTATTGTTGTTTTTCACAGTTCTGGTCAAGGGCATCCAACTTTTAATTTTTCACATTTCACTCACCGGGTTAGGCTATTTTTCGTAGAGAGTAAAATGGAATCCTAAAATTTTCGGATTCAAAAATGTGATGAAAGAAGGTATCTGAAAAATTATCTCCTTCGTAATACGTTAAATTGCATCTAAAATTTTCGGGAAAATAATTCTGAATTCCTCGTAATTTTGAAAAGACTCAAGTTCCTCTAGAATGGCCGAACACTGAGATGCAAATTTTATAGCGCCACTTAGAATGCATTTCTATAGAGCTAAAAGTACTTTATGAATAGCTACAGAAGTGTTTTCAATTGAAAGTATTTGAGGAAACAGTCGTTGGGTGGCCCTGTCTCGTTGCCTTCTCCGCTTAGCATTACACGATATATTTTATATTTAGTATGAGCAAACTATAAATCATTAGCTTCGCTTTTAGCCCTCCTGACTAAATTTATGTAAGCGCTGTTTAGAATGCATGCAAAAGTACTCTGGACAGCCTTAAATGTGTTTTCAATGCCTTTAGGGGGAAATCATCGTTGGGTGCCCCTGAGTTTTGAGAATAATAATAATAATAATAAAAAAAGATATCGCGCACATAAATTTTACTTTACGATATCTTCAGCTGTATCTTCTATTCAGCTGCATAGCGGGGGCCAGATTTTGCCTTTTTCCTGGGCGGAAAATTCTCGTCCTCCTTCACCAGTTTGGACAACATATTATGGAGTAAGACGTTGTTAATCTAAGCAAATAAGTCTGGTAGAGTCAAGAACCTATGCAAGCGGCTGGACGAACAATGTGACAGCAGCTGAGACAGCGAACGTTAGAAGAATTCGAACTTGAAAACCAGGGCTGCCCTGTTGAAAACTTACGGACGGTCCCGCAATCGCCTTTTGTTTTCTGGTCAAAACTAACGCAGCTAACCTTCGGTCAGTCGATTGACCTAGAAGCAATAGTACCATCCCTCCCATAGCAAGTGCTGCATTGTTGCGCGAACGCGGTCGCTAAGCTTGAATATTCACGTCGCGTCACGTCGCGTATTAAACCTGGTCGTTTGCGGTCATATCGAAGCGTAAAGGTCAACAGTGGTTGTTGATGAGCGAGCAATTATTGTGCAGTTGCGATGGGTTTTGTGGAGCAAGCGAGCCAGAAGCAGGAGCACACGTTACCTGCAGATTAGCCGATGGTTATTTGGAGCAGATTCGTCGATTATTCTCGAATTTATAGCGCTTCGTGTGAAGGCGCGTGGAGATGGTCTGTTTGTTTTGTAGCCAGCCTTTAATTCTTCTTTAGTGGATAGTACCTACAATTTCAAAACTCAACAAAATGCCGCTTAAACCGGCCAGGAAAGACAAGGAGTCGTTCAGTTAAAGGTATCTTAGCTTTGTTTTGTTATATTTTGACTTTTAGACTATTTTAGTCCATGGGAGTTTCGACGACTCATCACAATAATTTGTCCATGTGGATATTCATATATTCATTCAGTGACACATACTACGTCTGGGCCGCCTGTGCTAAAGACAATTTCTTTTATTTGGACACAAGCACGGGAACAGCAGAGCCAAAGTCCGCACAAACTTTGTATAACCAAGGGTACGGATTGCGTAAAATATTAACAGATGTTGCTAATGAAAACAAAATATCCATCCCGCTGAATATTTATAGTTATTTTGCTGCTTTTAAAAATAACCTTCACCCGAACATAAAAATGAGCACTTTGATTCGATTAGCTAACGACAATGATATTATATTTCGCAACGCTGGAGCACCCAACTCAAAAGTATTGATAACCAAATTCAGATTATGGTACCCAAAACTAATTCTTAATGGAGCGGGAATGAAACAGTATGTTGAAAATTATCTCAAACCAAAAACTTGGAAATATCTGAGAGAGCATCAGGAAATTTACCAAACTGCAGCTGTGAGTTCATTTTTCAGAATAAGTATTGGCATACAAAGGCCTCGCCATGTATTTCTGTGGGTAAATCCCACAGCTTCATATAACAGCCAGGAACATAACATTTTCACTTTCAAAACATTCAGCATAGTTGCAAATACCAGATATTTCAGCAAAGCACAACAGCAAGTAAATAATAGCATCTATTACCCTCAACTTGAACTATCAGCTAATGAAGAGAGTAGATTGTACAGAACACTCATGAGCGTTAATTCAGGTTACAATGACTTTCCCAGTGGGTCACTATTAGATCGATCGAATTTCAGGAATCTGTTTGGAATCATTTATTTTGACTTGAGAAACCAAGAGGAAGATACCAAAAACTCTGTTGTATCACTGACTTTCCGATATGAACTAAATGGAGCCAATAATACTTAAGCAATAGACCACACTTTCTATGGGTTTACCGGCGTGATAACCCACGCGGGATGTTGGGAGAACACGAGAAAAGCTTGTAAATCACTCGCCTTCGGCTCGTGATTTACAAGCACTTTTCGAGTGTTCTCCCAACATCCCAAGTGGGTTATCACGCCGGTAAACCCATAGAAAGTGTGGTCTATTGCTTTTATAAAATAACTTCTAGAAGAATGGAGTGCTTTAGGTAAAAAATATGGTTCTAGTACCGTGATCAAATCACGTCTTCTCTCTAAAGTCATCATAAGCCAATCATGACTCACGATTTAATAGCGTTGAACTTTCTCAAAACTCAGTTCAGTCAAACAACAAACAACAGCACTTCAAAACACGAGTTTTTGCACTCATTACATGATAACTTATGAAAGCTGTTTTACAGGAAAAGTCAACACATATTCGTGCGAACATACAATGAAAGAATACGTTCATGGTTTGTTTACTACAGAAGTAGAAATTAATTGAACATCAGACTGTACGCAGCTGTATTGTGTTGAGTCGATCCGTAAGAATTTCATTTTTACAGACGGAACTGACAGCTATTGCAATGGAGGACTTCATTCACTTTTTACAAGCTGCAGTGGTTTGAGATCTGTTTTCTGGACTATTATGATCGAGAAATGCTGGGGTAACGATGTGGCTGCATTTGCGAAGTTGTCGCATGTAACTTTATATGCACGTACAGCGACCGATGGAAATATGTCAGTGGTGGAGAAAGGTTTTTTTGCCGTAGCCACATATTGGCGTAAATATTTGTCGATTCGTGAAGTCTAGGTTATGGCATCGATATCACCGAATAATTTGTGCAAATGTTGGAAAAAACCGGCGCGAAACTCTGACACCTTTCATCATTGTTGGCAGCTTGTTTACAACCTACAGCGGCAGATTTTGTACCATATCTTGATCAGAGATCTCTTTTTGGAACAATTTCTTTCATTAAGGCATTTAATTTTGACATAGAATAAATCAAGAATGCTAAAACTGTCCGTTTTGTTGCTGGTTGGCACATGGGTAAGTTTTCCTAGAGACTTTCTACACCAGAAATTCACAGAGTTATTGTCTTTCACTGCGATTGGCATCGTCGTGAAATGTAGACTGTTTTCCAGTTTTGTACTTTATAACTTCTAAAGCTATGGCAGTAGCGAATTGTGAGGCTCAGTAATAAAATGTGGAAACCAACGTTTTTAATATTAAGAAGGGCTGGGTAAGTAACTTGTTCTGTTTTTTAGCCTTTCTAAAATCGTTGTTTGCAGATCAATAGCGGGTTTTGTTTATGGCTCGTGGTCCGGATGCCTTTTTCTATGGGTTTACCGGTATAATAAACCATAGGTTTTTGACCAATCAGATCACGCGTACTATCTCAGTTATTTTATAAAAATTATTATATGACTGAGTCTGTTTTTTCCATGCGATTGGTCAATTTGCGGTCCGTAACTTGCTATAAGGACCAAAATTTCAAATAAAATGCTCATTTAGGAGCTCTAAATCTCTTTACCTCGGACAAAAAGGTTAAAATTAAGTTACAAGACGTCTATCAAACTTGAGGACTTAGATTTTGACTTTGTCCTTCAACATTTTAAACTGTGTTTATTTGTGAACGAAGGCGATGAAGAAACTAACTCGTACTCTTATCGAAGAGGATTCTAGTCATTGTTTGAAAATTTTATCGTAGTATACAGTTAAGAAGACGAAAATCGACTGGCAGAGATTCGAGATGTTTTGCCTAAGAGAAAATGAGTAATTCCTTCGACAAATATGATAACAAACAAGCCTGCACCCGATCATCTTGACGAGCTTCTTTGTCATTTGCAGGGTTTTTCCAAAGACCAACGAAAGAAAGATATAATAGAAGCGACTCCGAGCCAGACTCAATGTCCAGTTTTCAAAAGACTCCACCGTCACAATAGCGAATGAATACTTACAGTGCTCTTAGTTTTGACCGAATATACTTAAAAATATGTCTCTTAACCTTGAGGACTGGGATGTTGACTTTGCCTTTCCAGATTTTAACCGAGCTTTGTTCGAACGAGAACGAAGCTGTAGAAACTGAATCGTAACCTTTCCGTGGAAGAAAATATGGTCCGTGTTTGAAAATTTTAACGCAGATCACGCTTGACGACGAGAATGAACTGGCAGAAATTCGAGAGGTTTTCCCAGAAAAATTAACGAGCGAATCTTCGACAATGACAACAAACTTACCTTGAAAAGCTTCTTTGCCGGCGCGCCTTTTGCAGTGTTTTTTTTTACAAGGACCAACGGAGGAAAGATGGAAACGACTTCGAGAAAGACACAGTGCCCGGTTTCCAAAATACTCCAGCGTTACATTAAAGAGCTAAAACGTACAGCGCTCTTAGTTTTGACCAAATAAACTTTTTCAACATGGCGAATTTGTTTTCACCTTCTCGGAAACCCTTTGTTGTGTGCTATTGTTTTCGTGAGCCAATAAAAATTTTCATTCTTGACGCCTGTCAAATGATTGTCAAATCGCGCGTCCTGCACTTGTTTCCGGTCCCCGAAACTGGAAGAAGCCATATAACAGTTCGGAATATCCCTAAATTTAAGGACAGGGCCAACTGGTCACGCGACACTTTTCAACCAATGAGAAGGCGCGCTTGTGTTTATCAACAAACAAATCAAAACATCGCCCCAGTGATCAAAAATTTTCAAAACAACGGACGGAGTCGGACAGAATTAAAGATGAGCTTACAGTACTCGCCTAGGTTTCACATTTAATATTTCAAAGAAAACATTTCATGTAAGAGAATAAGAGCATTAGTCATTGCAAGGAATCATTTGGGTGTTCGAACTGATTCCTGACCGATCGCAGAGGTCGTGGCTTCACTGGCATGGCTTGCAAGATTTTTGATAGAAGCAACTGGTCCCGTGAAAAATAGCCTTAGAGGGAGTGTGAAAATTTGTTTAGATCGTACAAAACAGGATTGGTACCACCTATTAACTTCTACAGGACAAGAATCAAAGAACCAGTCATCATAACAAGAATAGAAAGTAGTTCAAATTTATTAATTTTTCTTGTTTTTTTTTGTGTTGTTTCGTGTTGACTTCACGCATCTGGTGCTTTCTTTGCTTGCTGTAGTACCTGCAATGTTTTAATTTTATCCCAGATAATCAGTGCATGTTCAATGAGTAGCGAAATACAGCATTTACAATTGAGATTTGCCTTGTTTCTTTGATTGTTTTTTAACGGTGGGTGAACATTTGGAGAATCCAACAACATTAAATCTTTTCCAGATTAGTGAATTTCAGAAACAAAGCGGTTAGTATCTACCTTCCGTACCTTGCGCTTATGATCTTCAATTTCATCCCCGCAAATTCGGCAAAGTGAGGCGAGATGTTGGACGTGAATATCCAATGAGACTAATAAAGTTGTTTTGGCCTTGAAAAGAAAAAAGGCAAAGGCTCGTACTAATGCGAAAAAAAGTAATAACACGGCTTTTGTGAGAAACCCGGGAGTGGAAAACGTACGTGTTTTGGACCTCGGAATTCAAAAATTGTCTACCAAAATTCTAGGTTGTCTACCATCCCCACATTCAACATGATAAAAGTTAATCGATATGACAATCGAGGAATATCTAGAACTAAATCTGTGAATCAAAAAAATAATAGATACTTGTTCACCTACCTTGAAAACTGACCAAAATCTCTCCTATACAACCCGTTGTTTAAAAGATAAAAGAAGAAATAAGCCACAAAATGTGCTGAATATTTCACGAGACACTTCCGATACGCTGTCCACTTAAGAAAATTGTGTGCCTCATCATGAAAAGTCTTAAAAATATGCCTGAGAAGCTCGAAACGATGACTGATTCTGTCCGACTCCGTCCGTTGTTTTGAAAATTTTTGATCACTGGGGCGATGTTTTGATTTGTTTGTTGATAAACACAAGCGCGCCTTCTCATTGGTTGAAAAGTGTCGCGTGACCAGTTGGCCCTGTCCTTAAATTTAGGGATATTCCGAACTGTATAATAAACATTTTATTAGCCTCGTTTTTTCGGTCCGTACTGTAAATTACGGATCCTCGTTTTTTTCCATCGATTTATGGCCCAAGCTCGAAGCGCGCGGACCATAAATCGATGGAAAAAAACGAGGATCCGTAATTTACAGTACGGACCGAAAACTCGGCTAATAAGAGGTATTTACACTTTGAACGCCCTAGCTTTGCATGAAAAAGAAATAGAGTTGTACACTTCCAGTGGTAAACTACTAATTAAAGCTTAAGTTAAACATATTTCGTGATTGCATAAATTATATAACGTATATTATATACAAGTAATGGCAAATTATCATTCTTATGGTGTGCGACTTAGCCAAGGACAATTACAAAATCTATCCAGAGTTTACAACGATATTCAGCAATAACGATCAGACTTACTAATGATGAATTGTCTGGCCCAGATAAACTGATGTTGACAAAAACTCAGATTAATAAATTGAAAAAAGCAAAGAGCCAAGGTGTGGGTTCAGATATTAAAATATCAAAAACACAAATACGAAAAGCAATAAAGCAAGGCGGGTCTCTATGGTCTAACCTAATTTCACTTGGAACCCGAGCACTTCCTTATACTACTTCAGCCATTTCAAAGCAGTCCCAGCTTTAGCAACAGGTGCGGTGAGCGCTTTAAGAAGCCTTGGAATAGACAAGATTTTTGGGAAAGGTGTTCAACAGGGAGGATTTTTCATTCCACAGAATAAAATACAACAATTGATTAAATACAGGCATTTACTAACCGCTGGTCAGAAAAAACAAATTTTAGATTCCTTACAAACAGGTAGTCAGTTGGTTATAAGGCCAACAAGGTAACAAATAGAAGGAGGAGCTTCAGGAGCAATACTAGCTAGTGTGGGAATACCTCTAGCAATTGAATTAGCTTCGAAACTGTTTTGAAGGGGATTGTTTCCACAATATCTATACCAGCAGGATCTTCTAGGGGTGGTAGAGGTCTCCAGGTATCTCGAAAACCAGGATATTTAATGCCTTATCAACCGCCTCCATTCTTTGGCACATGGGAGAATCCTGTTGGAAATGGGATGAGTTAAAAAAAGGCTTGAGGGTTTGTTACTAGGAAAAAACAGCCCATTCAACGGAATTCCACTCTTAGGAACAATCCTGTAAAACCTCCATTCAAAAATATACCACTATCCAACTTGATCTTACAAATTGGTGTAATTATCTGGACATTAAAATAAAGGGTATCTTTAGCAGAAACACGCATATGCCAAATCAACGTAGCCCATGTATTATCAATCTTGATGATCGTCAATCTCAGGGAACACATTGGGTAGCATGTGCACCATCACATGAGAATAGAAAGATTTTATGGTATTTTGATTCATTCGGTATGTACTATCCTAAGGAATATGAAAATAGAGCCAAAAAGGATGGTATGAAAGTGATTTACAATACAGTTCCATATCAACATATCAAAAGTGTTTTATGCGGTTATTACTGCATTTATTTCCTACACAGATGGTCACTTGGAGAGGACTATTATGACATTCTGCAAAGGTTCAGTATCAATGATGCCAATTACAATGAGCGGTTTATAGAAAAATATTTTAAATTAATATAATCCATATCTATAGAATGTCAGAAAAATTATGTGTATATTGCCAAGAAGTCACTCCTCATTATGTGAATGAATATGGATGTTTTGAGTGCTGTAACTGCGAACCACTAAGTTGCAGTGAGTATGAGTCGGATAGCTCAAGTGGAGACCCCACTTATGTGCCTGGTAGTAAATCAGTTAGTGATTAAATGATATTTGTTCCCTCCATTCAGTGATTAGAAGACATGTACCGGGAAAGCTACCCCGTAAACTGTACGGGTCAGGGGCCCGTTGATCGAACGTCCCGATAATTAACGGGCCCGGTAAGCTGTCTCCGTTTACATTAAAGATTGAGGTTTTAATAGTTTTGCATCTAACATGATAAAACTATCAGTTAATGAAACAAAATGGAGTAGTTTGCCAGCCAGGACCGGCGCTCCTATTATTTATATTTCGATTTAAATATTTGATTTCGGGCCCGAAAAGTTACCGGGACTTTGGAGAAACGGGCCTAAGGTCTAAGACCATTTTTAGCGGAGCTCCACGCGCGCGCTTCGCGCGCGCGTGGGTGGAGCCCCATACCTAAGGAAATCTACCCATCCCAGAAAATTTGGTAATCACGTGACCGTACACCGACCGCAGACCGTCCGTCCGCACTCGCGGACCAAGGACCGCTGAGCGAAATTTGGTGATATTTTTCAAGAGTCGATAAAACAAAAAATTCATAGTCTACAGCAATATGCTTCCAACAGCAGAAATAAGTTGATCTGAAAACCTGTTCTGCAAAAAGGCACGTCTTCCCGTTGCGTTTTATTTATTCGCGGGCTAAGTAAACATGAACATATAATTTACGGTGCCGCAAAAATCCAAACTTCAAGAAAGACAAATTAACCTACCTGTCAACAAACTTTAATTTCGCGTTTTCACCCACAGCAAGAAAGCCGAACCTTCGTCATATGAAAGAATTCTAATCAGTAAATCACGATATGTTTCATTATTCAACGTATTTTTTTTCTCGACGAAATATTTCATCATTTTCGGAAAAGTCGCGGACCAAGGGCATCGCGGACTTGCGCGGACCAAGGACCACATACCGTACGCTTAAAGGCTCAGAATTTATTAGAGACACTTTAATGCTTGTCTTCGTGAATGAAAATTGTTGTCTCTGTAAATGTTTCACAGTAGTAGTTAGTAGTATCTCTTGCAATTTTAATCGCTTGTCCGTGCCGTTTGTTTTCATCGTTCATGAACATCGCTTGCAGGAGTACTCAAAAATGTCGCGCGTATCAAACGCTTGATAAGATTACACATCGTTATAACTGAAACCATTAAATAACAAAAAAAAAATAAATTCGCTATTATGTTGAAGCGTAACTCTATTAAAGTTCATTCAAACACTCGACCACACTGACAGTTCGCACTATAGAAACGAGAACCAGCTGGCCGTATGGGTGATTTTGGAAATTTTGTGAGTGCAATTTGTCTTGAAAAATTGTGAATACCGTATTCTGTCCGAGGTCTGTATGATCAATAGTACTGTTTCACCTCAAATGTGATGTATAAAAATTATAAAAGGTCGGTTTAAACACCCCCAGATTTGTTGGCAAGAATTTGTAAAGTAAACCTGTTGAACGTCAAAAAATTGGGCGTGATTTGTTTTCCAAGAATTTGTTTTCGAGGCCGCCTAATCTACTGTGATCTTGAATGTGATCGAAGATGTTTGCTATTTTTTGGGTGTACATATAAGGTTGTCAATTCGATGTAAGATGTTTCACTCTAAAATAACTTAGCCTTTCCCACAAAAGTCACATGAATGTGCCCTTAAGTTAACTGAATTGTGGATTAAAAGTTTATTGTTTGATTTAAATTATAAATTTATCAATTGGAGCTTCGCTTTTAGCCCTGGCTAAATCTATATATTATATAACATGTAGTATATACAAGAATGGTGAAATCTTATCGTGTAAAACAGAAGAAACAGACCGAAGGCGTGCCTGGTTCTGAAAAAATTGTTACAGCCAAGAAGGTAGAAGGATGATGAAATGTAAATGTGCCGAATGCGGGATTACAAAAGTTAAGTTCGTGAAGGGAAACTAATTTAGCCCTCTCAAGCAGGGGGCGATTTATTTGACACTGCTGTTGGTACCGCTACTGATCTATTTGTGCATCATGCCCTTCCATGGATGGGAAAAAGGCAGTTGAAATGGGAAGATATTATGGTTCCGAGACTCTAAGAAACAAAAATCTCCAGAAGGAAGCTGTAAATTATGGACTCCAATGATAGAAGATGCTGGGGGAAAGGCTCTTGATGAATTATCAACAAAGATTAGGCCAAACAAAAGATATAAAACTGAAAGAAAAGATTTGGATGACGGATCTATGCAATTATTAGCCACCAAACTACATAATATTTTAACAGACCCCAAAAATATCAACAGGATCTGGCCAAATATGCATGGGAACAAGCCCAAATATTTGGATATGGGGGAACATTGGGGCAATTTTCATCGACACTCGGTTTAGGACATATTTTTCAACAAGGATCTGGCATCCTAGATAAGGCTCAAGATAAGCTTACAAAAAGTGGTGTAGCAGGTTCGCCATGGCATGTGAATTTTAAAAAAGGCATAGAATTGTTTAAAGACCCTGATTTATGGAAAATTCCCTCCAAAAAATAAGAAACAGACATGAAAAAGCGTGTGGATGCGTTAAAAAGATCCTATGATGCAGTAAAAAAATTGGGTTTCAAAGGATCGTACACTAGTTTTGCAAAAAAGATTGGAGCTGTTCATAAACCCGCTTTTACATTTCCAGGATTTGGAAGTGGAATAGATATTCAAAAAAATTTATCAAAACTTGAAGAATTGCATATGAGAACACCAACTTTAAAAAAATATAATTATTGTGGTCCAGGAACAAGGTTAAACCATGCGGATCCCAAAGTACGGAACCTATCAACAAATTAGACGCTGTCTGTCAGAGGCATGATATCAAGTACAGTCAAGCCAAAAGTTTAAAAGACAAAACATAAACCTGATGACGAGATGCTTGATGAAATCTCAAAAATACCGTACAAAGGTCGTCCATGGGATACTACAGCTGTTCAGGGTATTATTAAAGCTAAAAGAAAACTTGGTTCGGGTTTAGACTAAAAAAGCCGTCGAGTGAAGAAATACGTTGGGAACAGCAATTAGCAGATGAATTACATACGCCCATAAAGCGTAATTTTACTCGGCGGCGTGTTATTGTAAACGGTATCGACAAAATTTGATGCTCTAATCTGGTTGAATTGCAACAATTCAGTAAATTGAACAAGGGTTATAGATATCTTTTCATGGTAATGGACCTGTTCTCCAAATATGGCTGGATTGTCCCTGCATTGAAGGATGAAAAAGGAGAAATTGTCACAGAAGCATTCAAAACCATCTTCAAAGAGGGCCGAAAGCCGCAATATCTGTGGACTGATAAGGGGCAAGAGTATTATAACAAACACATGAAGTTAAGGAATCTTTTGGAAAAAGATAACATACCACTATACTCAACCAAAAATGAGGAAAAACCTAATGTTTGTGAAAGATGGAAGCGTACAATCAAAACCAAGATGTGGAAGCAGCTCACTGTCCAAGGCAATACCCAATATCTCAGTGTACTACCAAAAATACTGGAGCAGTATAATAATACTAAGCACAGTTCCATTAAAATGACACCTGTAGAAGCCAGTAAAAAAAGAATGAAAGTGCCGTGTATTTTAATCTATATGGTTTTTTTTTGTGCAATTGTCATCTAAGCCCAAATTCAAGGTTGGTGATAAAGTCAGTATAAGTAAATACAAAAGAAAGGTGTTTGATAAAGGCTACACACCTAATTGGACTGAAGAGATATTCCTGATTAATAAAATTCAATCCACAAATCCAATCGCCTACAGAATAAAGGATCTCAACAACGAGGAGATACAAGGGAGCTTTTATGAACCGGAATTACTGAAGGTAACACAAGATATATTCCGCATTGATAAAGTCATTCGGAGGGATTATAAGAAGAAACAAGCTCTTGTGAAATGGTTGGGTTATAGTGACGACTTCAATTCCTGGGTTCCACTAAAGGATTTACAAGATTTATCTAACTAATAGTATAAATGGAAGATCATATAAGAAAGTTGAACATCAAAATCCGTAATAAGGAAACCGAGCTGAATGGACTATTCACTAAAATCCAAAATTTGAAAAAGAGACATCACGGCACAAAAAACTAGTCTCCAAAAAACTGGGAACAGTGGAGATGTTATTAACAGGCGTCCTAGGAGTGATCTTTGAAGTTGATGAGGACAAAAATAAGAACTAGAAGGGATATAAAGAAATTATTTAATGTGTGTATAATGGTGTATATGTTGGAAAAATTGTTCCATAATGCAGACTTGGATATAGATCTAACTTCATTCATTGATAATAAACAAAATGTATGGTTTAAGGGTAAAGATGTTGCCCTGATCCTCGGATATATACTCGTGATGCTATTAAGAGACATGTATCTGAAAATCATAATATAAAACAGCTCTCGCGAAACACGACGGTGGTCTGAGACCTATTTCATTGATGAAGCTGGATTTTATGAACTTGTTTTTGGTTCAAAATTGAAGACAGCAAAAAAAATCCGTGATTGGGTATTTACACAAGTACTCCCATCCATCAGAAAACATGGGCAGTACAAACTGTTTGACAATCCCAATAACCACATGTTTAAGTTTGAAAATGAGTTTGATCTTCACACCAAAGTTGTGGAATATATTAGGCGATTTTACCCTGAGTGCATTCTTGTGGCAACATTGGGTGAAAACCACGATACATCATGTAAAAGAATTAACAGTTGGAAACAGGGTTATACTAATTAGGCTCTCCAGACCTGCTGCTTATGAATTATCATAAGGATTATACCGGCTGTATTGAATTTAAGAGAGCCCTAGCAACAATTAGCAAATTTCAGAAGCACAAAAAGAGATAAAAAAACGTTATAAAGAAAATGCCTATTATTTCATCCTGAGTAATGACTATGATTTAATAATCCAATATCTAAATGAATATATGTAGGGAATAAGAGAACCATGCAAATACTGTGGAAAATAATTCCTTTCAAAGGAAACACGAAAAACACATTATAAAACAATCCATTGAATTGAAAAATAATGTAACTATATATTAATGCCACTAGCCAGGAAGCTAGTCAATATCTATTGCTTGAACTATTTAACACGCCTCAGTCTTACTTCACCTTAGAGAGGCCCTTTTAATTTACATTCCATAAATATATACAAAGTATATATATGGAAGATTATATCCGTCTTTTATCCCAACAACAGCCACTTTCTGGAGGCACCAGTTTAATAACTATGTATATTCCTCCAAATCGTAGAGTAAGCCTCAGTAAACAAAAGTTGACCAATACCAATGAAATGGGCCTTGTCTCAAATATAAAGTCAAAAGTCGTTCAAAAGCAAACGAGAGCCGCTCTAAAATCAGCATTATAGCAATTAAACCAGCTAAAAAAAACCCGAATTTCATGTCGCGGGTTGTTACTACTGTCTGGCATCATAAAAAATATTTGTGAAGGTTACAAAGGATCAGCACTCATTGAGGCTGAGCAAGCAATAGGAAAAGCTGATTATAAATGCGGCAAGAGCTTTTATTTGGATCCGATTTTAGATACTTATAAAAAGAAAATAATTGAAAATCCAATAGTTGATAAAATATTGGAAATGATTGCAAAAGCACATATAGATAGGTTGGATTTTGGACTCAAAAAGATAACCAAAGATTATTCCCATGTCGTGTTTACAAATGAAATCAAATATCAAAGCTACAAGCCAGAGCTAAACTCAATATAAATATATTAATATATATATATAAATAATATAGTCGCAAGCTATTTCGGTATGGTGATATGATTAGGATTCGCTGGTTTTAAACTATTTTTATTCCAAGAATTTCCCGGATCAGGCACCCGATTCCTGGACAAAACCGAAAAGTCAAATTCCAGGAAATTTCCAAGTCAAGGTCAAGGCCAAATATTTGAAAATGGCCTGGTGAGCCCATATTGTATACTACCCGCATTAATTTGTGCACCAGTTTTGCACTTTGTATTTGGATCTGAAATAAGGTCTGAATAAAAATGCTGAATATTTATGAAAGAGAGAGAGAGAGACCACAATGAGAGGCAACAAAGGTCGGTGGACGAGCGAAGCGAGAGAGAGAGTGTAGCGATAAAGTGAAAGTGAAATTTGGGAGTCACAGCCATCGTAGTGATATAAAAATTTTCCCGTGAGGTGTTTGTTTTCTTTGAGGGGAGATATATATAGGAAAGCAAATGATAACTTCTTTCGCTACCAATATTAACTATAACTCTTTAACCTACACAAAATTGTGCGGTACGTGATCAGGTGTTGTCAAAAGTGTAAAATATCAAATCAGTGTCTTCCCCCACCCCCTAAAAACCAACATATGCTCACTAGACAGACTCTGATTTCTCCCCCAGTCTAGCTGCCTTTAGATAATTGATCAGCAGTCATGTTTAAACTTTTACAAGGTAAAGGGAACAACTGGCCACAGCATACTCAAATTGGTGCAACTATGCACTTGATCAGTCTCTGAAATGCTCGTTGCCTGTGCTTTTTCACTTGCCAAAAACACTTGCTTCATTATTTCATTTATTTTAAAAGGATCAAAGACCAGTGTTTGGAGAAAGGGCAGGTAGGTTGCATGGTTAAATTACAAGCTAACATCCTTACTTGTGTCCTATCTCATGGGCGATTGTATACGCTAACGTAAGGCCACTGTCTTCATTCACTTTGCAGCTTTTGTCTTTAATTTGGTGCAGAGACCGTTTACCTGTGAAAGGCCTAAAAATAGATAAGAGATGAGCTAAATTATATAATAATAATAATAATAATAATCTTTATTTCTTAAGATAAAATTACATATCCTAAGTTACAATATAAACTCAAAAAACTATTTACATATCATATCTAAAAATTATTCTGTTACTAAAAACGTTCTTAAACCTGTATTTATAGTGAACAGTTTCGAGACAAACTCAAAATGGCCGTGCACTGATGTTACGGCAATACAGTCAGTTTTGTTTAGTCTTTTTAATTAGTTAACCTTAATGGGTACCGGAGCTCAACGTTTGCGAAGAAACTACACATAAATGACAAAATCACAACCTCGTGACAAAAAAATATGTCCTTCCTGTTTTACGTCATCATTGTTCTTATCAGGAGGCAATAACATAAATGCATGTTTCTGTTCAAACGTTTCAACAGCGTTTCTTTTAGAGGCAAACAGATTTGAAACTTTGGGATTAGCATCGCGTTAAATAAAAATTCTTTACCAAACACCACCAATTAATACTAAAACAATGCTAACAAAATATAGGCGCATGGCGCGCTGATTGAATGCGCTTGCACTCCAACGGAGTGGGGGCTAAATCGCCAACCACTTTCCAACATATCAGGTCCCACGTTTGTGAAAACGAATACGGAGAAAAAGTGCAGAGATGTCTTCTTCCTATAACTGCACTTATTATTATTACAATTTTTTCCAATCTTAAGTTCATGGAGGTTGGTCCGGATGGGGCGAATGGACAACTTGTACCAAATCCTGTGGATGCGGAACACAAACTCGATCACGAAGCTGCACGCAACCGCCACCTGAAAATGGTGGTCACACTTAGGTGTGGGTCGGTGTTGTTGATTAGAACATCTAGGAAAGGTAGAACATGGTCAGTTTTACGGGGATTCAGAGGTATTATTCTATCGTGGCTACGTAGACAACACATTTTGCCTTTTCCACTCGGAACAGGATGCAATTTTTTTCTTCAATTACATCAACAATCAACACCCTAATATACGCTTTACAATGGAGTGGGAAACTGACCACGTTCTACCTTTCCGAGATGTTCTAATCAGCAACACTGACCCACACCTAAGTGAGACCACCGTCTACCGGAAAAAAAAATTTCACAGGTTTGCTCACCAGTTATCTCAGTTTCTCCCCCTTTGCTTACAAATTGGGGTTAATCAAAACTTTGATTGATAGAACCTCTAAAATAAAAAACCATTTGACTGTGTTTCCACACTGACCTCCAAAAATTGTCTGTTATTCTACGGAGGAATCTCTTCTCTAGAAACTTTATAAACAAATATCTTTGTTTCTGACATTATAATGAGACTTTTTGAAAGGTTAATCCTGGATTTCGAATTAAGGAAACCGGTTTGCTGCTTTATTCATTAAGATCAGTTTGCCTATAAGAAGCATTGTGCGACTAAGACTGCCCTATTAGATAATCAGCACTTTTGGATGAGATGGCGTTATGGCCATTCTTACTTTGTTAGAGTTCTTTCTTTTGACTTCTCGGAAGCTTTTGACTCAGTTTCCCATAGAGTAGTAACTGACAGACTTAAGAAAGTGCCTGACATTAACCCTTATATAGTTAATTGGGTTATTGACTTTTTAAAAGATCGTCAGCAAAGTTATGTGTAGACAAAGTCATGGCCCCATTCTTGCCAGCCAATCGAGGTGTACCTCAAGGCACTGTTCTGGGGCCTGTACTTCTCACCATTCTGGTTAATGATATAAGTCCCACCTCCCAGAATACCTTAATGACTAAATACGCTGATGACATTACATGTAGTATACCCACTGGGCCTAATGTGAATGATAGTGCCTCCTGGGCAGAGGAGAATTTGATGAAACTTAATCTAAGTAAGACCAAGGAACTAGTCATAAGAGGAAGAACGACTTTGCCCCCTCCTGAGCCAATTGTTACCATTAAACGTGTGTCATATTTGAAGCTTCTAGGAGTGACTTTTCAGGATAGTCCTACCAACTGGGATAAGCATTTTGATGATTTGATGGAAAGAGCTCTAAAACGTATGCATATCCTTAGAGTGTGTAAAAGAAATGGTTATAGTGTATCTGATCTTGATTACCTCTTTAATTGCCTCATTATGTCACTCTTTACTTACTGTATCAGAGTTTGGGGTGTTGCTGCTTATACCAAATACCTTAGTCAAATTGATAGGCTATTGCGAAGGGCCTTTCAATTTGGGTATATTCAACATGAAACATCGATTCAACAGGTAATTAAAGACAGGGATGTGCGGCTCTGGAAAAGTATTATTGGTACTTCCTCGCATCCCCTGCATGATCTTCTCCGCCCCACTTAAGAGCAGGGCTCTACGCGGTAGGTCGCATCCTTACCAGATCCCACGTGTTAATACAGGGAGGTTTAAGAAATGCTTTGTAAATAGACGTCTCTTTGATTCTAAATAGATCTAAACGATCTTCATGTCTTTTTGTCACACAGTCGATGGTGGTTGGTCTTCATGGAGTTCCTGGACAGAATGTAACGTGACATGTGGAACTGGTGTAGTGTCACGCGAACGTAAGTGTGACAATCCTGCACCGGCCTCTGGCGGAAGGCCCTGCCAAGGACATCCTAGAGATGTAAAACCGTGCAATACAACTGAGATTTGCTTTGGTACGTGTTGCTTCTACGAATGTTATCTTTATTTATTAAGAACAGTATATTCGAAAATGTGTTACGGTGTCAAGTTACATATAGAAAAGTTGCATTATGTGCTCAAACTTTCTCGCGGGGCTTAATTTCTCCACGTTCAGGTCTGGCGGAGAAAGCCTTGGTCACGACTAGATCACGTGAAGTATTTTATCACATGACAATTGTCACAAATTTCAATGCAATGATAGTATACACTTAACGTCAGATCCCTCGGGAAACAGTGAGTTTTGTTTTCCCTCGAGTTCTGATGTTTCCCTCGGCTTCGTCTCGTGAAACATCAGAACTCTCGGAAAAACAAAACTAACTGGTTTCCCGAGGGACCTGACATTTAGTGTTTTGTTATATTTCTAGACTTTTAATTCAACGTACTTCAATAGCAACAAAATAAATACGCTTTAGCGGAGCGAATCAGAACAGTCGACTCGGTACTCATAAGAATACAAATTTAATTCTCAAAACCACTAAATGAATGATTTATTAAGTACTTTCCTCATATGTTTTGCACCTTTTCCCTCCACTAGCTGCTGTTTCTCCTCGGGGATAACTTTGAAAATCGTTGCTTTTTAGCTTGAGGCTTCATGTTTGTGTTGTTGTGTTCATTCAGGAAAAAGAAATCTGGCAGTGTTTTCCCTGTCTTCTGTCACGCCACTTTTCACCATGCCTTGATCATGTGCTGTAATGTATGCCAAGGGGGTACATTGCTTAATGTATCACGATCGGGATACATTTGATTTTAGTCAAGGCCATGTGACCTAGAATCAGCCAATGGCTGTCCCTGTTTAGTAGAGTAAACGTCTAGGAATATAACAATTATTGATGTGGAATAGTTACGAGTCTTATGAAACCCGTTAGATTCCTTTGTTATATGTTTTATGTTAGCTTTTTTGGACCTGATCGTGCATAATTTTGAATAGCATTCCTATCATTTTGAACTTACTGACCAATAGAAACATTGCATTAATTTATTCAGTCTCAATTTTTGAACAAGGATTGTAGACGATCATGGAGCTTCCAACATAAACCACAGCACCGTTGTTTTCAACTTTGATGCTTGCCTACTTTGATAACCAGTCTCCTCTACTATTTATTAATATAATGCAATGAAATACTCAGCGAAAAGCTTAATATTGAAAGGCTTAACATTTAGCAGCCCCTTGCGATTCTCCAAATTGATTTAAGTTAAGGTTAATTTTTAAGTTCTCTTTTTTTCTGTCAGATCGAGTTGGGTGCTATCGCAGCTTTCCTTCCTCACTTCTGAAGGACTTCCGTAATGACATCAATTGGACTTCGTCACTTTCTAAACAACTGTTTGAGATTGTCAAAAAATGTGCTCACTTGGCCAAAATGAAGGGGATGAGATTCTTTGGTGTGGAAAACTACAGAAACTGTCACGGAAACCAGAGTTTTTCACCAGGCAATCAAGTCAAGTCGTTTCGATGTAATTTTGGTGTTGGCATAAGGGGAAATTTCTTTGTGTACGAGATAACTGATTAATGCTGTAGGGTATTTTAGGGGTCATGAATGCTATTTTGTTAACATTCAGAGTTCTTTGTGATGCTGCAGTAGTTGCCACATGATGAAGTGCGAAAGAAGGTCGCTTTATTTTCTTGATTTTAACCGTTTATTTTCGGTACTTGGACCAGGTTTTGCTCTCTATGGCAGTAATGCCTTTTATATATCAGAATATATTTTTACATAGATTTTTAGTTCAACAAGCAAATCTGTCCAGGTTATTTCCATATTGTTGATTAATAATTTCTTGTATAGACTAGTTTTTTCTTGTGTGTGTGTGTTATTTTTCTCTTTTCCTACTTAATTTTTAGACTCATTAACTAGAATTTTCTGTTTCTTGAATGTTAATTTTAATCAATAATTAGATACCCTAAATTAATTTGATATTGTCGATTGATAATTATACCTCTCAACCTTATTACTTATACTTAGCTTACTCTTGTCATTTAGTATACTTAAATAACTGTGAATTTTGTTTGTAAATGGGTAGCCTGAATGTAATGAGCCCCATGGCCCCGGAGGGGGGGCGGACTCTGCATATGAAAGGGGTGGGGATGCTCGTCGGAAATTTTGAATTAAACCCCTAAAGGAGACCGATCTGGGCATGGCCCAACCTTTTTTGACCCCTAGAAGAGACCATGCTGAAACACAGACAATATATATATTTTATATTTTGTCACGTGCAACCCTAAACGAGACCTGCACGGCTAAATATGATAGCGTTTTGCCCAGAACACCCTAAGTGAGACCAAAGTCCGAAATGTACTCCCCTTTGCGAGACGACGAGCATCGCCACCCCTTTCATATGCGGAATTCCCCCCTCCCCGCCCGGGCCCATGGCTTTCTATCCGGGCTGTTCAGCCATTTGTAGTGGTAATCTGATCAATAATATGATCAATAAACCTATTGTTTTTTGACGTTCAATAATAAAGCTAAAAAAAAATTGGGAAGAGCTCATTGCCAATCTTATGAACAATTTTCATGTTGGAAACGCATGTTGCTCATACAAAGCCTTTGAGCAGAATGCAAAGTTTGTCTGAGTCACGCGGGGGTTATAAGGTGACAAAACCAGGTCTGCCAGAAGACTCACATTTAAGGGTAAAATTGCCATTTTGAAGTCTCTAGCAGTATTTCAGATTGTTTATGTTTTGTCATCCCTTCCGTCACCGAAAGGGGTCTTAAACGAAGTTAACGCTCTATTATATGATTTTCTTTGGGACAGTAAAGGGGACAAAATGAAAAGAACAGAAATGATCAACGAGTACAGGAAAGGATAACCTGAGTTCGGGCCCAATTTAAGCTGTTCTCATACATTCTTTCTAACGGCTACCGCTAAGATTAAAATTAAAATCTTTTCGTTTCGCCTCGCCCGCCGGAATGTTATTTTCAAAGCGAAACGAGAATAGAGCCTGATCTCAGGTTAAGTAAAGGAGGGTTAAAGATGATCGATATTGCTAGTTTTCACCCGGCCTTAAGAATGAAATGGGTAAAAAGCTATTTAGATGATCAAGACACGGGGAAGTGGAAGTTTTTTTTCAATCATCGACTAGCACATTTCGGGGGGAAATTAGTTTTCTGGGGAAACTTAAGTCCTAATGACGTACCTTTACTTAATCTACAAGATCCGTTTTTAGCTGAGATTATAGAATATTGAACGACCCTAAATTATAAGGACAACAATCTAGATTTCGCGTCAGCTCAGATCTGGCACAGCTCCCTCGTAAGAATAGAGAAGAAAACCAATTTTCCATAAATCTTGGTTCACCGCAGGTGTGAAAGATGTCATTCTTGATACGGACGGAAATTCTATATTAAGTTATACTACTGACATTTATTTGTAAATATAAAATCAAGACTAACTTTCTAGAATACTATAAGGTAGTATCAGCCCTTAAACTGTTCGGGCAAAAGTGTTCTCAACAACCCAACGGATTGGAGGACCCAAAACCAAGACCTTTGGGCAAACATTATTAGCCTCAGTAAAAGCCTGTAAAACCGTTTACAAATTAATCATCGAAAAAAAGGCCACCACCCCTCTTAAAAGCCAGGGAAAATGGCTGTGTGAGGAAAATATAACAGGAAATGCGAATGTGAACTGGGAGAATACATACCGTCTCCTTTTCGTGTGAACAGAAACAAAGTTACGAGTGTTCCAATTCATTCCTTTACAGACGAATAGCAACAAACGACTTCCTCTTTAAAATCGGCCTAAAACAGGCAGAATCCTGTTCTTTCTGTGGGGAATTTACGGAAACCCTTGCCCACTTGTTTTGGTATTGCAAGTACACTTAAAAATTCTGGAAAGACATTTATCAATGGATAACTCAAAACACTTAAACAAACCCATGGCCCTCTCTCCTCTTGCCTGTCTTGGACTAATTGATAATATTTTCGATTTATTACTACATCAACTTTTCCTTATCACTAAACGATATATTTACACATGTATGTTAAAAATCTGCCACCCTGTGCTACAGGCTTATATACAAACCGTTATGACCTCCATGGAAATTGAAAAAGAGATTGCCTCTAATAATAACAATATATCTTCTTTCCAAAACAAATGGAGCCCTCTTAAACTTTGCCCCTCGAACAAATAAACTTGCTGATATAAAATAAATCCAAAAGTTCCAAACGTTAAAAGTGCTGCAGAAACAAATTCAAATGCAAAGCACCTTTTAGTTAGTAGGACAGACTCTTTATGTTTTTGTTGTATCGTGTTTTATTTTTTGCAATTTTGCAATTAGTAGTCAAATTTGTAAAACTTTTTTAGGCTTAATCAGTTGTAAATGCTGTAACATCGTATTTTGCCTTTTTCTCTTGTACGTTGTTTTTATTTTCCCTCCATGTAAATGTAAGTATTGTCATGAGAAGAGTTGTAACCAAATAAATGTTATTTAAAAAAAAACCAACAACAACAAAGACGACAAAACCTGTTTTTAGTAATAGTGCAAAGCGCTATTCAGCGAACTATTAGCACTGTTAAATCAATTTGTTGATCACCGGAAATAAATTTTAGTTAATCAACAACTCTTGTTTGAGCTTTGTCCTATGTCCTGTGATTTTCAGGTACAACCTTATGTGAGCGGAACTTACGAACTCTTCATGGTTTATTTGACCAATCACATGGCACTCTGCCACGTTCAATCGCTAGCATTCCCATGTGCTTCATAACTTTGTTTTTTCTTCACGACCAAGCATAATGTCTTGAAGTTTTCTCTTCCAATTTTGCACTATCCAATGATTAAGTTTTTGATAATCTCTGATATTCTATGTTCACACTTGGTTCAGGTATGATGTCTGTCTACATTTATCTCGCTCGGCACTAAGAATGAGCTGTCCACACTTGGTTCCCGGGAACCAGTGCCTGGATACCGGCAAAAATGGTTTTGAGTACCCGATATGTAACTGTGTACATAGTTACTCCATTTCGCTCTGACAGACGCCATTTTCCAACATGAGCTTAGCAGCGAGTTCAAAGATCTGGATTGCCTCAGAAATAACAAAAACGATGTGCACACAGGGACCTGGTGCCCACTTTTGTGCCCGAGTACAAAGGGGTGTGTTCACATTAGTGCCCTGTGAGTACCGTACCGTAAACATGATCAATGACTATTTTGTAGGCCTGGGGTTACTGATCACTTTTCTCCTCTACGTCAAGGTGCCTCACCCGTATGCGTCCCACACGAATACCTTGTCTCTGAGAGGGAAGCCCTCAGTTCTATGTCCTCCCTTAAAATTTCTAAGGCAGTCGGACCTGACAAAATCCTGAACAAGATCTTGAAGGAGTTTGCACATGAACTGGCTCCTCGATTATCCGTGACATTTACAACCAATCGTTAAGGGAGGAGTATATTCCATCTCTGCTCAGGTCCTCGATCGTTACCCCTGTTCCCAAGGTGTGCCCACCTACAGCCATGGAAAAAGATCTAAGACCGATATCCCTCATCTGCACGGTAAGGCCAAGGAGGGCTTTACGTGCGCCAGACTTCTACCCCAGGCTTAGGGTTGATCCTCGGCTGTATGCTCGCAAGGGACATTCGACACCAGGCATGCTCTTCTATACAAGCGATACGAGGCGGTGGACAATGGTGAGGCATGTGATCGGATCTTTTTCGCTGATTTCGCTAAGGGATTTGATCTTATTGACCACGCTATTCGAATTCAATAACTGGACAAACTGGAAGTCCATCCTGTACTCCTGTGGTGGATCGCTGCTTTTCTGACAAGCCGTCAGCAGACTGTACGGATTGGAGAAACGCTGTCAGACTGGAAAACACTGAAAGGAGGAATACCCCAAGGGACCAAGGTGGGTGTTATTCTCTTTACAGTTTACTGTGCTGCCCCTGATATCCACAATTTCGCCATAGCTCATAATACGAAACTAAACCCAACTAAGTGCAAAGAAATGTTTGTAAACTTTCTTCACAATTCAGATCAAACGTATTCCTCAACCCTATTATAATAGGAAATAATGTTGTAGAGCAAGTTAAATGTTATAAGATTTTAGGTGTTATTTTGAGGTCTTTGAACAACGACCTCTAATGGAATAGTCACGTGCACTACATTGGGGAACTTAGGGCGCTTTCCATTTAGGAAAAAAACCCGGAAATTTCGGTGGGAGCAAAAGTGGAATTTCCGATTGGTAAAAAGTTGTTCCATTTGGTCGTAAACCCCGGTACGTCGCGGTGCCCGACGGTGGACCTGGAACTGGTACAAACTACGAGAAACGTAAATGGAACACGACATTCCGTTCGGAAATTCCAACCGGGGAAACGGGACCACCTTTTCAGATTTTCCACTTTTTCTGGGAATATTCCAGTTGGATGAACCGACGAAACGTGTTCCATTTACCGCCGAACGGGAAATTCCGGAAATTTTGACTAAATGTAACAAAGCCTGTAAGAACTTATATTCCCTAAGGCTACTGTGTAGGGCGGGTGTTAGCAGAGAAAGCATTAACTGAAAGTATATCCTACTACGATAAGACCAGTTTTAGAATACGCTGTACCCGTGTGGCAATCCATCTCCGAATACTTAGCTGATGTAATTAGGCTAGAGGACTAGAGGCAGTACAAAAAAAAGGCACTTAAGATAGTTTTCGCTGCGGAGGAACCCTATACAGGGAGGCCCTGAGTCAAGCGAACTCGGTGGCAACACTGCAAGAGGAAAGAGAAGACTTATGCTGCAAATATATGGAAAAGATGAAATCTAGGGACCATACTCTATTTAAATTGTTACCTAGGCCTGTTGCAGGTACTCGAAATTACAAGCTCGAAAGTACTCAAAGAAATTCCTTCACAATTACTTGTAGTACAGAGAGGGCAGTAAATAGTTAGGTAAATTTGTAGTATTTTTTATAGTATATTTGGAAATTATTAGTCTTGTAAATTTTTAAGCTCATCAATTCATTATTAATTTTACTGCAATGAGTTTTAATAAACTTTTCAATTTTATATTTGGGGAGCAAGGGATGGCGCAGTGGTGAGAGCGCTCGCCTCTCACCAATGTGGCCCGGGTTCAACTCCCGGCGTCGACGCCATATGTGGGTAGAGTTTGTTGTTGGTTCTCTCCCAAGAGGTTTTCTCCGGGTACTCCGGTTTTCCCCTCTCCTCAAAAGCCAACACTTCAAATTCCAATTCGATCTGGAACGCACGGACACGTTTAAACGAGTTCATAGGAACTCCTAGGTGCTTCGTGGGTAAACAAATATTTACTCGGACCAAGAGAGAATGATCATTCTCTCTTACTCGGACACGTTCTTTCTTCAAGTACCCACGCGTGTGACAGTGCCCGAGTAAAGAGTCGAGACAATGTATTCAGAGGCAAAATTTGTCACACCAGGTACCTGTGTGCACACGTTTTCTGTTAATTAATTCTTATAACTCCCTGCTTTGCAAAAGGTTTAACATGGCTTTAGACAGGGTGAAATGGGGAAAATATCCAAAAAATGCACTTTAATTGAGTATGGTGTCAATGTATTTAGCCCAAAAGTACTCATTTTTGACGTCTGTCCAGAATCTTCATTTCTCAGTCACTGTGTGGCACGAAATTTTTGCCGGAAGTTTTGCGGGAGTTTTTTTTTTTTGGCGGATTGGCGATTTTTTGTGTTTTGCGGGAACTAATTTTTGCGATTAGGATAGATTGTTTTCTCTTCCTGGGAACTAATTTTTTTGCGATTTTCAGAAACTACGCAGTACCCGGCATTGACAATATTTTCGTTTTCATTGAGTACGTACGAGCAAGAGCTCTTGGTACGTGCAATAGAATTACATTGTACTATTTTCAAACAATCCAACTACGGTGTGCGTACCCTATGTAAAACCATGCAGCATTTCATTGTATAACTTTTTGTTGCTAAACGGTAGAGACAAGTTGTAATTGAACAGTATTTTTGTGTAGCGAATTTTATATAAGTTAGAGAATATTTACTCTGGAGTAAATTTTTTGCGGTAAAAATGTTTGCGGTAATTTTCACTTGCCGGAACTTACTTTTGCGGATCGCTGGAAAACTCATAAAAAGCCAAAATAAAATTAGAACCCTCAAACACTTCGTGCCACATAGTATTTTAAGACCTTGAGTATAGGTCCGATCTCATGAATCGAACCAACGACATACCGATCGAAAGTCAAGCGCTCTCTCCGAGACAGTCGTGGATTCTGGACTCCACGCCATGGATTCCAGATTCTAGGTACGGTTGTCCTAGATTTCAGTCTTTGTCAGTCTTTGTCTTTGGATTCTGGATTCCTATCGTTCGTTGGGTCCCAAAGCTTAGGATTCCGGATTCCACGGGCAAAATTTTTTGGATTCTTTGATCAGGATTCCCATGCTCTCCCGACTCACCACTCACCACACCATTTTGTACCGGGACCCCGGGGGCCCGGGACCGGGACGAGACTTCACGGTTTGCTTTTGTACCGGGACGCTAGACTTCACGGTTTCCTGGGAGAAAACTTATTTCTATGCTTCTTTTAGCTGTTAAAGATAGTTTTTCCTCATAAAGATGTAAGAAAAAAACTTTCTTGCCTGGTTTCCTTTGCCCGTATTGCAATCGATCCACTCGGCCGTGACTTAGTGAGCGTTACCCGACGATGACGTCACACCTTTTCACCACTCACGCTTCGCATAGTTGAGTTGTGCCGATCGTATCCAGAGGAAACGGTTGAACATGTTTTAGTGAAGCGGGGAAAGTAGAGAAGTCTATCTTGCCTGGAAATCATACTGGCACATTTATAACAGGTACGGCTTGTAGTGCAGTACTTTCTTTGTATCTCAATCTCTGTTTCGCGAGAGAAGTGGTTTGTTTGACTATACGAGTATCGGCTCCTCCAGTACTTAATGTATACACAACGGATACACAACCACTTTAGATTTGACGTGTTCTTAATGTAAGATCTGAACTTGCAATGATAGCTTGATTTGGTAGTGGAAACTTGCACGGTAATCATAAATCTTCCCGCTGTGGAAAGAAAAACTCAGTCTCGGTCAGCAATTAAGCGCGTTTCGCGCTCGATTCAAGACACACAACGCTGTCAGATAAAATATTTTACACTGCAAGATACGGAGCAGCTGCTTAAAAAATAATGCTTTCTGCCTTGTATTGAATAGAAATCTCCTCGTTGGTGATTGTAATTCCCCAACTTTTGATATAAAATACATTAGCTATGTTAAACGTAGTTGAAATTCGAAAAGAGTAAGGCTTATCGTTCTGTCGAAGCCTCCTAAAGACGATGAAAAATTAGGCTCAATTCTTAATGGCGTCCATGGATACGGTTGCATAAGGTACATGTAAAAAGATGTCGTTTTTCCAGATTATGCTAAAACTGGATTTAAAATTTCATAGTTTAGTCTACTGAAATTCATTCAGCTGCTGCTTAAATTTCTATCCAGAAAGCTGATGTAGCAAGTTTTGTCTTTAAAAGTTTAGTAAGCTTAAATTTTTGGAGTTCGATAACTGATCGAGCGTATGCTTGAGAATATAATAGGAAATCTTGCATCTGTGAAATTGTTTAGCTTGATTTCATGTTTAAACTAACCTGAAAATTCAAAGTAATTATACGATCTTCTGATGGTGACACGTAAGAAGTACAAATCGAAAGTGTTCGTTTGTTATAATTAAAAGCTTTGGTTGAACGATCTTTGTTTATTACGTTAATTGAATAGTCTCTTTGTTATCAGTTGTAGAAACGTTGGAATCAACCCGACCTTTTGGTTTCTACTTTTGTTCAGTTTGTTGTGGTTTACAAATAATCGTAGCCAGGGAGATAAAAGTTGATCTACTTCCTTTTGGTCATACAATAGTTCTTAGCCAAACTTAATTATTAACTTTTTATGAAAAACGTGATGTCATTGATAAAGAATTTTTTCTTCTTGAGGCAGTAAGCTTGAACCAAAATGAAGGGGTTTTTAAAGCACATACAGCTGTACAACTGAATATTGGAAAAAAAGACTTAAAGCCTGGTTTCTTCATAATTATCCAGATCATCTTGATCACCAGAGTTACATGTACAGTGTATCTTAAAATGTGTTCACTGCTGGATCAAGGCACACTGAAACACCTCTAAATTATGTGATGTAGGGCAATCCAGACAATTGGGGCAGTTGAATTGCCTGTATCGAGCATAAGTGCACTAACGTTTTGCAAATGATCCATAAGAAATCTCATAACTGATAAAAATTACAAATATGGCACTTTTTTAGTTTAGATATTTCTTTTGCCACAGCCCTGGTTAAGCAATACCTTTGGGTTAAAATATTGGTTGTCCATGTTGACCACCATAAAATTAATGAGACCTAAGTCTGTAACTTTACACCCCCAATTGCAAGCAATACTACAAGCATTCCTGTCCCTTTTACGTGGGAGTTCTTCCCAAGCCTAAAAAATGAAACTACCTAAAATTTCATTTTTCTCAGTTACATCAACCAAACTGTGGTGTGCAGCTACAGTGCCAGTAGATAGCTTTTGATTTTACATTCCTTGCACTGCATACCATGTAAATTGTGTATGTGTACCTCTAGAAGTTTTACAAAGTCTACTTGTGAATCATGTTCCATTGCTTTTATTCCCTTCCACAGAGATGTATCATCTCTTACCGTTCCTGTTGTTGCTGACCAGTGCCACAGGAGATGGGAATTTCCGTTTCACCAGCACTCATGTCATTGTAAATGAAACACCATTTACTCAAGCAAGTTTTGGGATTTCCCGAACAGGAGGACAGGCTCAACCAGTTACTCTCACCTGTCAAGTTAGTACTGGCTGTCAGATATATTACAGGGCCCAGTTGTTTGAAAGGAGGTTGTTAAACTCATCACCAAGGGATGAGTTTGGGTGTTGGTGCCTACAAAGTTGTTGAAGGCGGGTAATGCTCTAGCTTGAGGGGGAGGTGTCCATGCAACCCTGCGAGCGGCCCCCACCAGGCACCATCACACTGAACAATTCAGTGGAATACTTACCGACCAGTACTTACCTAGCCCTTACCTCAAGAGGGAGGGAGGGAAGGGAAAAACTAAAGCAAAAAATGGCACGCAAACAGCAAGCTATTGCAACAACACTTTGCAAAGAACTGCAAGCAAGCAACTGCGTATGTAAGTCACGAGGTGTCCCTGCCAGAGGCATTGAGCTACCACCGCGGTCAAATGTCTAAATCGTTATTTTTGTTTTTTTATTGCTGGGATTTCATTTAAAAGTTAGAGAAAAATGGGCAAAGATGTATAAATCTGTTAGTCAACATAATTATCTTTCCATTTTTCTCAACATTTTGAGCTTTTTTCGCTGAAAACGCTTCGCGCTAAAAGAGAATCATGTTTGAAAATGGTGCCGATACTAACGTCTGGATCGGTTTTCAATCACTTAGAACTTTTTTAGTAAACTTTTAAAAAGTTTAGTAAACTAACAGGACGTTGGTAATACCCTAAACTTTCGATAGTGAAAGTAGCAACCTTAACTTTGAAGTATTTCGCTTAACTTTTGCAAATTTCACTCGTTTGACCGCTGTGAGCATTGAGCTGCCCCAGTATAGCTGCAAAAACTGCTGATCAACATTGCTTCAAGGTTAACTTTGCCTAAATTACATTTAGCCACATATAACGCTATCCACTGGATAAATCTCTGTGCAGTAGATAGGGCAATTATTGGTTTCCCTGATGTTTATCCACTGGATTGTAATTTATCCTATCCTGTGTTTGAACAATCAGAACCAGAACTGTATTAATTTTCTATACTGTGTAAGCTGTTCAATAGTTGTTTTTATAACAAATTAATTTCCTTTATGTTTGGAGTCAAAAGGCCCCATAACAGTAGTGCATTAATTAACAGGTGAATGTATATGTACATAAGATCAAATTTGACAGTATATGGCAAAAATAGGTTTTTCTCCTTGTCATTCTGTAGAAGTTCAGAAATGTACAGTGTAAAAAAGGCAATACAGATGTAGTTAAGCTGCACAGATCTTGATGTCTCTGCATCACATTTCACCAGTTGGAGGTTGTTACAAAATTAATATTATTTAGGGTTTACTGTGAACTTGTTAGTACAAATTTTGTTGTGTCTACAAGGAAAACTTCAGGTAACAAACTATACAGTTCACTTTCAGTATGATGTACATGTACAGGTGTACAATGAAGCTGTAAAATTTTAAATCTGATTTCCCCTTCTGTTCTATGTCTAGATATTAAATTCATCAGCTCAATCGGATGTGGATGGGACAACACAGAACAGCGTGTTTGGGTCCAATGTAAACTCTGGATCATGCGACTTCACAATAGTAAATGATGTTATTCCAGAAGTCAATGAAACATTTACTGTTCAGTTGATTGTCAGTCAAGGAAGTGGAACAGTAGTGTCACCTTCACTGGCTTATTTGACTATTCTTGCTAATGATGATGCATTTGGTATTATCGGGTTTAATGAGGTAAGGCAACTTTTAAAACTGTAATGTGTGCAACTCTCCACCCCACCCCTTCTCCCCAATAAGCACAGGAAATTATTGGCACAGTCCCAAGTTATGATGTGGACACTAAATGAAGTTTTATTATGAAAAAAATACTTTTGGGATTCACTGTTTCATTGTTTTAATGTCAAAAATAATAGTCTGTGTCATTGATGAAATTCATGCCAAAATGCCACAGAATCTCATCACCAATATATGAGCTTGGGTGTACAGTACAAGGTAGCAGGGCAATGCTCTAGTATAAGGGAGGAGATAGTATCCATGGTAGCCCTGCGATCAACCCCCAACAGGAACCCTCAGGCTGAGCCACTCTCTGACCAATACTAATGGCCTAGCCCTGACTTAAAGAGAGAGGGAGGGTATGGGAGAAAAAAAGTTAAATGCACACATGAGCCAAAGACCCAACTGGCTGGAGCTTATCCTAGTTTCCTTAGCATGAAGCATGCCTAGGAGTATTGCTACTCGCCCCCTGGACGGGATGCTAGTCCATCGCAGGGTTACCCCCAAGCAGTACTGTACATGCATGTCACTGGTACCCATTTATACACCCTGGTGAAGAGAGATAAAAGTTCCTTGTTGAAGGAACCAACGGGACGGGCGAGGCTTGAACCCCAGACCTACAGATCCGAGTTTGAGGTGTTAATGACTTAGCTGCTTGGCCACACTTGCCTCCACGCAGGTATGGGAGAAACGCAGCACTAATTGAACTGGCAAGCAAGCACAAAGCTATTGCAAAGACACTTTGTGAATAAAAGCAAGGAACCAATCGTGTTTAAAAGTCACAAAGTGCCCAGCTAAGGGCATACTTGTAGGGGCCAACCCAAGTGGTTGGTTGTATAGTGATATATACTTGTATTATTATACAGTCTTGTACATCATGTTTACATTTCACATGTATTTTAGCGGAGCGCGTGCAACATAGCACCACGCGTAAGAAAATATGGTAATCTATGCTTGCAAGAAATTTTGGTTCTGAGAAAATTGTCCATATGGAGTACATTCGTACGTACGTCCACCCCCTTCATGTTAGCGGATGCCAAATGGCACACTTTAATACTATCTGTGTAAATCTTGGTATTGGACATCCATGTTGTGATCAATTGACAGCTGTCAAAAAAGGGTATCCGCTGATCAGTGTCACATGACTGCATCGTGGGCTCAGGTATACAACTCATGGAAGTGATGTAATTTTTTAAAGTTACCCGCTGACCAGTTGTTTGTTTTTAATTGATCACGGGCACAGGTCAATTTTTTTAACGGTAGAATTCAGTTTGCTCTCTGCTTACGGCCAAAGTATAATTAATTGAGGAAGACATTTCCTACAGCATCCTTCGAAAGCTTCGCTTTTGGCCTTGTCCAAATCTATATATTGAATATTTGATGTACATCTGTACATGGGACATTATGTTTTCAATTCTATTTCAACAGACAGGACCCCTTGTGGTAGCTGAACCCACAGGTCAGGGTGGACTAACAGTCATCAGGCTAAGCAGAAAAGCTGGTGATCTCGGAACAGTGCAAGTGTCTTGGAAGGTAGGAGAATTATTTTTTTACTGCAATTTTTAAGCAGACACCGACACCCTCAGATGCAGTCACCAACACTGCACAGTGTGTACTTGAGGATAGTTAGTAGAAGAACAGAGACTGCTTGGTTTTGAATGGCAGCAAACATCGAAGATAAAAACAACAGTGTTGCAGTTTATGTTGGGAGCTCCTTGATTGTGCACAATCCTTTTTTTTCTTCACAAATTGTGACAGAATAAATTTATTCAGTGGTTTTATTGATCAGAAAGATCTTGAAAAAAATAATAGGAATGTAAAATGACCTTTTAGAACTAAAGCTAGTAAAGGAAAGTGGATGTGAATGATTGTACATTTGTTTCATGAAAGTCTCCTGCATTTTATTAAAAGTTTTTATGGAGCATGGTCATTTTTGTGAGAATTTGTGAAATCTTTGGAATGTCAAATAAATATTTATTTTCTCCAGACACAATTGGGGTCCTCTGTACTATGCATGTGACTATGTGTACCATGACTTGAAAAAAGTCAAGGCATGTGTAATGTAGTGTGAAATGTCAGCCATCTCTTTGCCCTACCCCCTCAAATGGGTAGCCTGTGCCCTTTTGGGAGATTACGTAGTTGCAATAAATAAACAAATTTCAAGAAATGAAAAAGATAAATATACATTATTTCTTAAATACAAATCAGTGGACACAAGTGGATGATATTCTTTGAGATAGAGTGGAAATTTGGAGTTGCAGAGATGGACGCGTTGATAATCACTGCTCTTTGCAAATTAAAATTTATGATGATAACTGTTTTTAAAACTTTTAAGGTTGCAAATGGACCCAACAATGGAGCAGATGACTTCCTGAATACCTCTGGAGTAGTTATTTTTGAACAAGGCCAAAGGATTGCAAACTTGTCCATCCAACTGAATCCTGATAATGTACGAAACAGTAAATAAAATTAAATATAGTCTTTATTAATACAATGTATACACCTACAGCTGTATAACAGGGCTGGAAATAATTACCTGACTGATTCCAGCCAAGTTGTCTTGTCAAACCTATCAATAATTTTTTCTCAGGCATATAGTAACCAATAACACATGTAGTTTTTGGTCAAACAAAAGTAGTAGTATTTTATTTCACGTCATATCGCTATAAAAGCTATCTCCCCCCCACTAAAGAAATGTTTTTAAAAATATCACATAAGTGTAGTTACCAAGTTACCAAGTTCTTTTTGTTCATGAAACCCTGTATTAAATTCAGGAATTGTGGAACTCCTCCCCCCCAGGGACAGCTGCAGCATTTGACTAAATCACAATAGCACTAATAACTATAGAGAACAGTCCAATGAAAACTTCTCTAACAGGGTAATTAGTTCACACAACAGGCCATTGCACATTGTTGTTACGGTTAAACCCCATGAATACAGACTCTGAGGGGGTATAGAAAGTGTTTGTATAATGGGGTGTCTGTATTAAGTGGGTTGAATTTAGAGAAAAATGTATGGGCTAATTTTTTCCCCATGGACAAAGCAAACTGTCAGTAATGATGAGTTGTCCACATTAAGCGGCTGCTGTCCTTAAACCTGGGTTGACTGTATTTTTAAAACAATAGCTTATAGTAAAGGTGTAGTAGTTGACCCTTTAAGCCCCAATATCCACATTCAAATTCTCCAGACTGATCTCTCTTCATCTCCTTAAAGAATTAGTTGAGAGCATTATTTTGATAAAAGATCAAAGTATTTTCTCTTAGGTGATCATTTTCTTAATTCTCATAACCTCATCTCATGATAATGTGTCGATATCGTTAGGAGAAAATTGATGTTGGTCACTACTGGGACTTAAAGGGTTAATTATGTCTGAACTCTCAAAAGTGAAGGGGAGGATGTGATGGGCATGTTTGTCAGCATATTAGAGTCAGCTTCTTGCTGGGGTTCTAACCTGTGTTCAGACAGGTTTTTTTAGAAGCGAGCAAAAGTAAATGCCTGATAAAATTCTTTTTCGTGAGCCAGCAACCTTCCCTTTTGAAACTTCTACGATGCAGGTCTTTGAGGACCATACAGTTAATGTCATGTAAAACTGTAAATTTTGTCCTTAATAATAGGTGGCAGAGAATGAAGAAAGCTTCACTTTGACTCTAGAGTCACCACAGGGAGGAGCTGAATTGGATCAAAATGCCGCATCTATTATCATCAGAATTCCTGCAAATGATGTTCCCTTAGAATTCCCACTTGTTCAATTTTACATCCCAGAGAATCAGTCCAGAGTTGAAATTGAGGTCTTCCGAGGGCTTGAAGCAGATGGTATTACAACTGTTGGGCCTGTGAATGAGGTCACAACTGTGGAGTGGTATCTCGCATCAGGGTCGGCTACTGTGGGGAATGATTTTGTTGATGGAAGAGGTACACTAACTTTTCAATCTGGCGAAACAAAAAAGAATATCACTGTGAGACTAATCAATGATAACAATCCGGAACCAACAGAAAACTTTACAGTCCATCTAGCAAATGCAAGTCTTAATTCATACATCAAACCTCCAGGAATAGCAACAGTGGTTCTATTACCAAATGACGACCATAATGGAGTACTTGCATTCGGCCAGCATACTCGCATTTTGGATGAAGATGGAGTTAGATCTGGCACATTTCATGTGAATCGCAGTGCTGGAACATTTGGAGCTATCACCGTGTCCTGGAAAATTCAAGGTGCAGATGCAAGTTCCATTTTTGAAACAACATCGGGAATGTTAAATTTTGCTCCAGGACAGAGTAGTGTATCATTTCAAATTGTAGTTCGTGAAGATTCTGTTCCTGAGGAAGCAAAAGAATTCTACGTTCAGCTGTATAATGTCACAGGTGGTGCACGACTTGAAAATACCTTGGCAGCTCAAAGAGCTCGATTTTTTGTGGCTGACAGTGATGATGTTTATGGTGTCTTTGAATTTGCTAGTGATCATTATCAAAGCATTAATATGGTGAGTAAATACAGTGTAGCTCTTACAGCTGCTTCAGTTGACTTTGAGGTCCATATATGTAACGTCATTTAGACACCACGTTTTTCTCTGTAGTTAGATATATGTATGACAAAAACCTGAAATGAATCTGTACATAAAAATCAAGAGGAAAAGCAAGTATGCATAATTTACGGTACGTCACCACAGTACAGATCAAGAAGGCAAAAGTGAAAAGATTCTAATACGACTTTTGTGGATCAAGAAACCAATATTTGAAAGTATTGTACATACCTGAAAACCTTTTTTTGTTAAGAGAACGACTATATTATATCATTTATGGAATTCAGAATTTTGATGGCTGCATAAAATAAGTTCTAGTCAGTACCAGTGTCTTAGCAAAATTGATAATTTGGTACCTTGACATTTTACTTAGTGATGGGAAGGTAAGTGAACTTCCCTTCTTCCCTGTTATGTTACAGGACAGCATACCTCGCCAGCTTCATCTCAACATCACAAGAACTGGTGGTATGGTGGGAAGTGTTGGTATTAACATCACTGTAACATATCATCTGCCTGGAAGTAGCATCCCGTCTAATGAAGTAGCATTGGATTATAATGGTGATGTTACAATAGCTGCTGGCTCTAGGAGCACTTCTCTGGTTGTGCGCATTGCTGATAATGGATTCATCAAGCTTGGAGCTGCTTTCAAAGCAGAACTGATAGCTGCCAGATTACAGAGTAGAGGTATCGTACTTTGTATATCTTAAGGTCCTGAAATTTTTATCCTTTTCCTACAAGCCTAAATTTACATGAACAGAATCGGATCTTGCTGTGGTACAGATGCATTTTTATCCAGTCATGTGTTGCTCAGTTATACAGTGTAGGTAGTTACAGGACTGTTACAGTCGCGACTATTAGCAGCGCCCAGACACTCGTAGAAGTTTCTGTAGCGACTTTATTAGAACCTCTGTGGTAAAAATTCATTGTACACACGTCAGTTGACATCTTAGTCTCGTACAGTCCATACAGATAACTGTGTCACGGCTGCTTAAATATTAATACATGTAACACACTGTAGGCAATGCACAATTCGAGAAGATGGCAGCTTTATTTACAGTTGCAAAAATAAGTGTCCTATTGGCTCTTCGCAAGATAATAGACCTTTTTATAAACTGCATCCCTCCCACGCAGAGATTCGTCACGCAATTCTCCCCGATCCATGTGGGTGGAAGGAACGCGTGACGAAGCCCTCAGAACGTCTGCGCAGGAGGCCTCTATCAGACAAGTTCATTGCATTCACGATGAGTCCCTAGTAGTTTCTCTTGCATGTATCATCTATTGAAACGGTTTTATTTTTTTAATCTGGTGACCAATAGCATCACCATTAACAAGCGAGGTGCCACCCTCCTCACCCAAGATCGGAAGCAAATCTGAGGTTTTCCTCAACGTAACTGCCAAAGATGCCAATGGAGAGGTTGGATTTTCTACAGCTCATCAGATGTTGTCTGTGCAAGAGCCTGCAGGCCCAGCCTCATCATTTCTTCAGTTGGCAGTTAAGCGCAGTGGAACCGCTAACAGGGTTGTTGTTCACTGGAATATCACTAGTAACAGCAACACATTTTTTCCTAATGATACTGGTCCGCAGAGGGGAAAAATTGTGTTTGAAGAAGGTACGACTTAGAACATGACTTCATCAAATGATTAACTTAATTGTAGTTACATGTATTATGGAAGGGCCTGCATTTGGTGTAGATGCAGACAGTTGCTTTAGACGCGTTGGCTTAGTTCTTGTTATTACACTGTGGCTCCGGCCTCGGGACCTTTGGAAGAGCTTTCAGAGGAGTTTTACCATCGTGGAATTTCGTAGCGAATTTATAGTTAGAGATCAAAACCTGTACATGTAAATAGCTGCTACTGAAGAGACTCATAACTTCGCAAAGGGGTGTGATGAGGGGTTCGATGATCATTGGTGGTTTGAAAGAATTTTATCACTGTGGTCGAACTTGATGCATAGTAATTGTTTTTCTGTAAACATGCTGGGAGAGTTTTTTCATTTCAGGTGTGTTTGCAGGGCATTTTTTCCTTAATTATTTAACCCCTCCCTCAAAAGGCAAACTGATGCCAAGTGGGAATTTGCAGATTTCTTTTTAGCAACTGAGAGTCTATGAGCTTAAATTTGCTTTTATCATAAGTATATAAACTCATCGGAGGCTTCGCTTTTAACCCGGGCTAAATCTCTATGTTAACGCCCCATAATGCTGTTGTTTATTGTTTAGCACAGACGCCTCCATACATGTACATGGACAATATGCTGACCATTTTCCTTGTAGAAAATAATGCTACGTAATTATCTGGTCCTTAAGCTTCCTACACTGTCAACACCAACATTGCTGAAACACTGCACAAAAAGGTGACGAATTATTCCGCCCTTTTAACTCTCTTGTGGACTAACTTCTCTTTAAAGGTCAAGATGAAGTCAACATAACCATTGAGATAAAGCCAGATGAAACCCCTGAAGTGGCCGAGGTCTTTACAGTCAATCTTGTAAATGTCTCTGATATGGATAGAATTCAAGTTGGCGCTGTACGTATTAACATACTTTTTTTATTTTAGCCATGGCAAGGAAATGGGTGCCCATCTTACGAGGCGAACTCAATCCAGCAGCTCATTCTTGCATTAGGATAACGCTGACGTTTTACAGATTTATCTTCAGCTTAATTATGTGCATGCACTTGTTAAGCTTTCTGATACATTCAACTTATTAAGCCTGAGAGCTAGCTTATAATGTATGCAGATCATGTACAGTAACTCCTAAAAAGTTAAGGAACGCTAGCCTGCTGAACAGGAGTTATTTTTTCGCTTTTTACAACTGAGAGAAGAAGGCAAGCGCAAAGCGAGCGAGGGCGAAAATGCGTAAGTACGAGGCGAAGACATAGTGTCTTTTCTGCCGGCTAAGGATTATATTTTTCTTCGCATTGAAGTTGATATACATGTAATAGTATCGTTACCGTTTTCCTTGGGTGTCCCTTGACATAATTTATGGTTTTACACTCATATTAAAAGGACAAGGCTCAAGTAACAATTGAAGAGAGTGACAATCCTGGAGGGACATTCGAATTCAAGAATTCCGCAGCTGTTGTTTTACAGGTATTTCGCTTCTCTTCTTCGTTTCTTTAGAATGCCATCCAGTAATTTTAAAAATCCTCAGAAATAAGTTACCAGCAAAATATAACAATAACTAACTCTTCCTCCTTAGATTTGGTTGCTAATAAAGAGTCTGTGATCTCAGTGAATAAAGTTCCCACCCTCTCAGCCCTTCAGTGTCCTCTTTATCACTGTAAAACCTTACGGAAAGAGGGTTGCCTAGTCCCTGAATGGCGTTTTCCCAGTCCCTCTCGGTCAATTCACTTCTGTGATTTTTCCCTTTGACCACGTGACCCGAAACGCTTTTGCTGCGCGGAATAATGAGGCCTAGAGCCTAGGCAAAAATAGAGTACAGATCTCCGCCCAAAACTGAATTTAATGTCATGGTTTTCGTAGCTGCCGTCCTACCTTTTTACATTCCCAGTAGTTGAGTACAGTGAGCAGTACAGTGCCGCTTAAAACTAAGATTTTTTTTTTAGAATTTTGACCCAGTCCTATTTCTAGAGTCACTGAAGCAGCTCGTTTCGAATAAATAACGGGGAAAGAAATTCGAATTTTTTGTGATCTGGCAGGCTCAAGACTGTTAACTGTCAACAAATATTGCCTCCTCTAAACAACCTTATATTTACTTATGCTGTAAAAATAATAACGTCCGTCTCTAAAGCACATTTAAGGACGCGTCTCATTTTTATATAAGCTATAGCATCACCAAGTAAACACATTTTTTCATTTCTTTCTAAAGGAAAGCAGTAGCAACAACTTCATAAATATTGGGATTGTGAGGAAGGGCAGTGCGCTGGACACTCGCTGGGTGTCGTTTGGAATGGTTCCTTCAGGTGAGAGGAAGTCACTAGCTATAATAGATCAGCTTTTAAGCTATTTTCTAGGTGGCTTGTACCTTTCGTAAGTAGTACTGTCGTTTTTTTTTTCATTTCCTTTTTCTGTGGGTGGTATGAATAAAGTTCTTGTCTTGTCTTGTGCACTTGTTCTACAGTTGACAGACGGACAGACAGGCAAACACACAAACAAACCGTCAGACAGATAGGCAAAAAAACAGACAGACCAACAGACAGATAGACAGACAAGCGAACAGATCAGTGCCTTTAATTAATTGAAATGTGGGTGGCCAGGCCATAAGCAGAAAAATAGTTATGCATAAGATTACAAACAGAACAACATTTCTTTAAACTGTTTGATGCTAACAACAGCAACAACACTTTATTTCGCTTTCAAAAGAACGATATTTCAAACATTAACATTGGTTTCCTGCAGTGGAATATTGCGCAGATTTGGAGTCAAAGTGATCAGTACTCAAGTGATCGGGTACACTTAGCAAAGCCTACAAGACTGCATGCAGCCATTACCAAGCCTGTAAAGTAAAGAGATGACGGTCCGCTAGCCAACTGTGGCCCACAAAGCTGCAATTGAGTTTTACGCAGTGTCTGTGAATTACTAGGATGTTTTGCTCAGTTCCCCCCTCAAATCAGTGATAGTAGACTAGCACCAACTTTCATGATAGTGAAATCTGGATGAAATCAGTGAGACAGTGTGAGTAAAATTGATGAAGTTATTTTTCTTTTCGTTCTTTAGGACGCGACGACTTCTTGGGCAGTACAAAAACTGTAGACTTTAAACCTGGTGAATTTGAAAAGCAATTTCCCATAATTGTTCGAGATGACGATCTTCCAGAGGTGTGTAGCATGCCTAAAAATACAACATCAGCCACTGCTGTCTTAAGTGGAGATATATATCATTAAGTGTAACTCATTAATTAGTTGTACTTTTGCAATTAAACAGTTCTTAACTAATACTTATCCAATGGATAGTGAATTATCCTGTGGATAGCGCTATCCTGCTTTTGAACAACTGGACCAGGTCTTTGCTCTCGAATGAATTCATTCTGAGAACCCGCAATGAAATCCACTTGCAGGGTCCTCCTTGAGACTGTTTTCTTTCCTGATACAAATTTGTAAGCTGTGAAATTCTGTTATGTCTTATCGAACAGTAATGGATAAAATTTGAACGGGAGATATGTATTGGTGGGTCTAAGGTGAGCCATCATAAAGACCCTACAGATGGGAAGCGAATGTTTTATTGTACTTGTGAAATGCCGGAAAAAATGTGATTTCTAAAGACCTCTGTAGCTTAACCTGCGTAGCAGGCGTAGCAAGGGGTTAGGGAATAGAGGGAGGAAGGGGGAAAAGGAGGGGGATAGGGGAGAGAGGGTAAACGACTCCCTTTCCTTTTCCCCGCTTTTGCGCTTTTCTCCCTTCCCCTCCCATCCCCTTTTCGCGCCTGCCGCGCAGGCTGCTTTTTGTTTTCCAACTAGAGGTCTCAGGGAAATTTGGCCTTTTTGTTATGCACGGGAATAATCCGAAATTTGAAAGAAACAGTTCTCTTGAGTATTATCACATGACCCTCATTGGGAAAACAAAACAAACAAGCTAAAGAGGTTTATTAAACCTGAATGATGACTACTAACGTCTTCAGTTGCATTTTTGGTCCCGTTACAAGCTTCTTATGGGCTGAGAAAAATAAAGCTTAACGTCAAACATTGATATTTCATTTCTTTGTAGATTGATGAAATGTTTGTGTTGAGACTTTCCAGTACAGGTCCAGTAGGACAAATGGGCGTTCTTGGAAACAAGATAACCGTCAACATCACCATCAAGGCCAATGATGATCCTCATGGAGTAATAGGCTTCAGATCTTCAAATATCATCAAAACCATTGGTATTCAACGTAGAATAATTATCTACTGTAAACTGATCAGTTGTGGTGTCAGAACCCTTCGTCACTTTGTTTTGGGAATAAAAATCTAGACTAATGGCCATTTTTTCTCGCAAAGATTTACTTCGCTTTCACGGAAGCTACTTTCCTCATTTCCACGCTAAAATCATCTGACATCGCATCGCCTATCACCTCAAAGAACCTGGTTATCACGCATGAATTACTAGTTTTAGTATTACTATGAGTGTCAGAAATGTAAACAAACCTAGAGGTAGAGCTTTCATTTAGGAATTAAAGTCAAAAGACAGCTTAGAGTCTCCTGCAAAAATGCAGCTAGGTCATGAATCGCCAGACGTTAGAAGTTGCATCAAATTGTGGGATTTTAAGCAACTGGCCCTTGATTCTGAACATGATAGAATTTCAAGACCAAATTGTTTATAGGCCTCTTTCGTTTTCATCCCATATAAAAAAACTTAAGACATCTTAAGTGTGTCGCCTTAGATGTGTTGCATAAGAATGTAATGCCATGGCCTCTGTATTTTAAGCTTTTGAAGCCGAGCACGTGGAGGAAGTGTGCTCTTTGTTCCTGAAGGCCAATGAGAAGACACGTTGCGAGTTTAATGCATAATAATATCGATATCTTATTACCTTTGTTCTAACAGCTGAATCGAAATACAGCACGGAGAGAGCCAGTTTTGAGGTTTACCGCGCTAGAGGAACCTTTGGACAGGTGACTGTAACCTGGAATGTTACTGCCGACAACGGCGCAAATACAGCTCTGGACGTCTCTCCCATATCCGGCCAGGTTACGTTTTCAGAAGGCGAGACTTCAAAAAATATAATCATTGATTCCCTTCCAGACATGGTAAGTAGAAATTTCAGGTTTCGGGAAGGTAATCGTTATTGGCAAACTTAAAATATTTCCCCAAATGGTTTTTGTCAGAGACTGAAAATTGTTTCTCCCAAAAGTCTACTTCAGCATTGACGAGTAGTGATCAGTGGCTATTTTGCCACGAGGATGTTTACTTTAGTGCACGTGGCAAAATGTGGCAAAAATGCGTAGCCCGCGAGGGGAGAGGGGGGGCAAGACTCTTCCCTATGCATTTTTTCTCCAAAATTTAAAGAATAGGCCCTTTGTAGCTAGTCACTCACTTGGTTATAAAACCACCTTCCTGGAGCGCGAGAGACGGACTGGAAGAAGACAAAGAAGGGAAATTTAACGATCTAAGCCTTTGTTTTTGTTGTCCCACTGCATCCTTTACTCTCCTGCATAGGGGTTTTCTATCACTTGCAAAGGGCTTACGTAGATAGCTTATTTTCCTTGGTTACACTTTTCATTTGTATTGACCTTGTCTCATTTACTTGGCTTTGCTAATGAAACTTTAAAACTCTGCACGTATTCTGTTTTACAGATTCCAGAAACAAATGAGTCGTTTACACTCTACTTAAACAATATCTCAAGCAACGCCAGGTGGGGTGATCAGTCACTGCGCAAAGCTACCCTAATCATTTCCAAGAATGATGATGCAGTGTATTTTGCACAGCCAACATTGATAAAAGTGCGAGAGGGGCAGTATGCTAATATGATCATTCAACGTGGAGGTGATGGCACAAATATTGTTGATGTCTATTACCAAACATTCGATGGTACTGCAACGTCCTCTGCAGACTACCAAGCCACGACTGGGCAAGTCAGGTTTAACATTGGGGAGTTTCAAAAGAACATATCGATCTTGGTGTCGGATGATAGCACACCAGAAGGCGTGGAAACATTTACAGTCAACCTTACCAATTCCACAGTTGACACAGTGCTTTATGGGGACATTTCAGCCACTGTTTCCATTTTTGCCAGTGATGGAGGGACGGGAGATTTCCAGTTTGCTTCTAATTCCCTAAACAAGACAACAACAGAAAGTGCTGCTGTAGACTTCACGTAAGATTTTATGTACTGTGATAAACAGAAAAACGAATAATAAAATAAGGTTCGACGTTTGAACTCTATTCTCATCCGAAGACCCGAGAATGCCTTGAAAGAAATGAAAAGGAGGCAATTATTACTTTGTCATGTGCATTATCTCGAGCACAGGAAATTGCATTGGCAGCGACATCTTTCTCTTCCTACTTCATCTGCTAGTTGAAGTGATTTGTTGAACTTCTACGTTCCTTTCTCATTTTTTGTTAACTAAGAATGAGTATTTACTTGAAGACCTCATTTATTTTTTTGCAGGATCGAAAGAAAAAATGCCCAGTTTGGCATGGTCAGAGTGTACTGGCAGGTTTTGCGGCTATTTCCAGATGCTAGCACCACAGAGCTTTTGCCTGGCCAAGAGTTTACAAAGGTTTCTGACTATGTTACATTTGCTGATGGTTCCTCATCGGAAGTTTTAAGATTGACTCCAAGGGAGGATGGAGTAGCTGAGCAAGACGAGTCATTCGAAATTCGCCTTGTAAATGCAACAGGTAAAATTGCCACTTGACTACCAACAAACTTTACTAGCCAAAAAAAATCCGTTTCAATGACCCCAAAGGAGTTATATCGTTAGAGCCTAAACAATTAAGAGAAATTAAGAGAGAAGACATTTTCATTTTTGAAGGAGCCTACAGACAACATTGGTACGTCCCGTTCTGAAGTCTCTCAGAGCAGCGAACGTGTGGGCTCTCCTCACAATTGTTTCATGTAATGGCATGTCAGATGTTATAATTCTTGCCTGTCGTTCTATTTTTCAGTTCTTCAATTGTTCTGTAGCACATAGCTTGGGAAAACAGTTGACATTTCGCTACACTACCACTGGTTTCCCCCCGAAATGACATCTGAGAAACGAGCGCCGAAATTCCATTCCGATGACGTGTCACTACCCAGATCTGGGTAGTGCTTCTGATCGGTTGAAGCAAATTTCCCACGCGGCACGACCAATCAGAAGCACTACTCAGATATGGGTAGACACGTCATCAGCATGGAATTTCTGTGCTCGTTTCTTAGACGTCATTTCGCGGGAAAACCAGTGGTGAAATTTAAAGGCAAGTAAACATGATCAAACACTTTGGTCACTGGGTTCACCTCTCCGGTGGTGGACCGTGACCGATGTGATGCAAAGATCATTCGTTACTTGGCTACAGCCAAACACTTAATATTTTAGAAGTAAACTTTGTATTAGTTCGGCATCTCATAGATGGACAACCCAGCGCTGTTCCACAGCATAAAACGCATTCCCTGTGCCTGTAGCAAGTGACAAATAAGTTGATGAGTGAAACTTGTGTGCAGTTGTTTCCTGAGCAGACATTTTGTTGCAGGAATTGATACTGGTGAAGACGGGACAATAATCAGGCCATCGAGTGCTTTTCTAGAGATAACTGCCAATGACGATCCAAATGGACTCTTGAAATTTCAAGACCGCTCACTAGACATTCCAGAAGACTTCCTTCCTGGAATGGAAGCTACTACCAAAAAGAATTTAACAGTTCTAAGGAATCAGGGAACTTGGGGGACCGTGAGGGTAAGCACTTTCATTCGCCATATGCGTTTTTGGTATGAGCCCCCTTCCATTTTGCTCTTACAGAAGGTGACAAATTAAGTCGTAGGAGATTTTGGAACAATGACGCAACACACCGATGGCCGTAAGAGTATTTCTGTCACATGGAGGAGTGGTAGAATTTATTAGTCCATAATGCTTTACTGTGACACTTGTCAGCGTAAGGATTTAAAAGGTTCCTGGATAGTACTGTAGGTTTTTTTCTTGCTCATTCCAAATCTTTTCTCTTCACCGCCTCGTATATTGCCCTTTTTTCGTTTGTAAGCCCAATAAAAACTTCTGGTTTTTTTGCTGAGGACTCACAAGTGGGGCTGTACGGTGTTATATCAAAGTAGCTAGCCTGGATGATTGCGTTTGCGTTCTAAACATTACACTTTGCTTCTCACAGGTTGCTTGGGAAGTCCAGACTGCTCCGGAATCGTTGGCCAGATCAGATCAAGCATATGATTTATTCCTGCTTGGATCAATGATGCCAGGAGTCAGCAGTGTGCCAGCACAGCGGAGAGCAAACACAGGGACTTATGTCTACTGTTTTGATGGAACCAACAATGGTATGAACAAAATCAAAGCTTTGGGACAGTACCAAGTTTCATTTTTAAATAAAATCATACAAAAAGAAATATTACCATGTAAAAGTACTGCTAAAGAGGTTTGAATTAAATAGTCACACCGAAGGATTTTGTTCATTGACTTGGCATGCATTACACGTACATCTGACTGTAACTGGAAATGAAAATGTTAAAAGGGTGTGCAGGAGCTAAGTGGGCTAGAGGAAACGTTATCGTGACTTGTTTAGTGTTCTCTGCAACAGGAAATCGAGAAACTAGTTTTTTCATTTAATTGATTAGTCATAGGGATTTCTTCCGACCTAGAAACCGAGAAAGCTAACTTTTGTTGAAGATGTTCATTGTCAAGTGTGGCTTTTTTCATTTCCTACAGAATCATTTGTGGAGGTCTCTGGTTTGACTGGTTTGGATAGAAAGTTTAGTGTACGGTAAGTGTCATGAATATTCTCTCTGTGTATTGACTTGTTGAGCTGAGCTGATAAGTGCGCACAATTGCAGTTTTGTTGATTGTTTTATACTATTTGGTTCCTTAGAATGTGGGTGAATGCAACTAAAGGGAAGAATGGATATGTTTTAGCCAGTGTGGCGGGAAGTACAGTGAACTTTGCCCTGTCTCTCAACACAACTGGATCAAGCACCCTGGCAAAATTCGTTTACTTGACAAACACAGTATGTAAAAAGTTAACGCTATAGCCACTGTCTTTGATGTTATAATACTTACTGAGGCTACACAGATGGTGGTTATCATTACTTTTGTGGCACATTTCTGTTTGTGACAAGTTATCCTGTTCCAGGCTCCAAGATAGCGAATTGCGCGAAAAGTGCATGGTGGCTGGCACCCGCGTTTTTTCGCTCGTCTGCCCTGACCGAGAGCCTGGCAGAGGAGGCCAGAGACAAGTCACGGCTGTAATCATGATAGCTTTAAGCAGTCTTAGTTAAATGGCAAGGTCATGCTACTTATTTGCGTATCTAGTTGCCTCCAACTTTTGAGTTTGCATTAATGTTAATATTACGGATCTTCTAGTCTTACCAGTTGTCAAATTCGTTCTAAAATATGAATATAGTGACCCCACCCCCCTTTAAACGCTGATTTACACAGTACAGCTTTGCCCCATGTGATATCCTTACGATAAACAGCAACCGAATCGCACCATGTGAATCTACCATTCGACACCCACAAGCCAGTCGTGGGTATTATTTACACGATATAACACGTGTCGTTTATGTAACTTTAGCACATCGTATGCGACAAAGTTGAACCGTATAAATTAATCTTAAATGGACACAACTGAGAATCAAAGAGAGGAACTGAGTAAAGTTGGGGACCTATATTTGAAAACTAAAAATAAATTAAACATTCTAACTGTATCGCTTTTTATTTTTTCTTTCAGACGGAAATAAGTTTTGGTAAAGATATAGCAGATGGTAGCTGGCATCTTGTGGTTTTCACTGTGGATACAGATTCAAACACAGTTCAGTTTTACTTAGACGGAACTGCCGTTGGTAGTCCTCGGTAAGCTTTCAAGATTCCTGAGAATCTTCCGCCCACATTTATGTAATTATGGGATAACAGATAATTGCTTCCGAAATTTCTGCCTTACATTTTCTTAGTCAATATTTCGGGACGGAAAGCTCATTCATTATCAAGGGTTAACCAACTGCCTCGCTTAAGTGGAAGGTGGGTGCCCTGGATACCCAGGGGCTTCCACTGTGGTCACCCAGCCCCTAACTGCCCCCATGGCTTGCAAATCCCCGCAACCCAGCCATTGGCCCCCATTCCAGGCACCCGTCACACTGATGAAACAGCGGAAGGAAGAAAATAGGGATGGGAGGGGGGGAAAGACGCTAAATGAACCGCTCCACAGACCACTGCACAAACGCTCGACGAAGAACTCGCTGATCCTAGCTGTGTGCAAAGTTACCACAAACCATGTGAGCCTGCACTTATGGGATTGACCGCTGGAAGCCCGCTAAGCTCGTGGGCCACTTGACCGCCAAGCTTGTGGACCGCTTGACCGCTTAATTGCTAAGCTTGTGAACCGCTTGACCACTAAGCTTGTAAACCACTTGACCGCTAAGCTTATGAACCGCTTGACCGCTAAGCTTGTGGACCGCTTGACCGCTAAGCTCGTGGTGGTTAACTTAGTTAAATTACATTTAACCAAACTTAGAACCTTCGTTTTGATTGGCTCTTACTTTGCATATCTTTCACTACGTCACTGAAGTTTTAGGAGAAATGGTGTGGTGAAAGAACGCATTAGAACATTGATTCAGTTACCTGAAGTTTGCTTTGAAGAAGCATAGCACTTAACTCTCTTAAGACAGTCGAAATATCAACTGGGTATTTTTCAGGACACTGACGCTAGTTTTAACATTTGTTACGTCTCTCTTTTTCCTTTGGTAAAGTGTTATTTTGATTTTTTTCATAAATATTCATGGCGGATAGGGTTTGTTGTTGGGAGTGTTTTATTAGCATGTGTAATCAAATGGCGACGAGTGAAATTAGGGAATAATTTCACGCGCGTTTGTCCAAATCCTTATAATTTCCCGAGCCTTTAGGCGAGGGACATTATTAGGATTTGGACAAAACGCAAGCCAAACTATTCCCTAATTCACGCGTATACCATTTGATTACCTATTAATATCATGGGTGACGAATTACGTTAGCTATCTTGGATTTTTGAAATGTTTATCCTTGATCGTATCGATCGAGAACTCCTGCACTCTCTCGAACGTTTAGAGCTTAAATTTGGCTTAAGTTCAGCGTTTTTCGACAAAATACCTGTTAGAATCCTTCTTGATGTGCTCTTTCGTGTGTTCAGGTTTTCTAAAGCGTCTTTTTGTGCCCTGACATCTTCATTCATGGCATTTTAAAACTTCGTCGCCATCTTGACACTGAGACGTACGTTATGGGTTGCCATGGCAATTTTGTAATTTCACATGTGAAATTACAAATTAACGCTGAAATTTCGCGCCAAAATTAAGGAGTAATTCGTCACCTATGATATTATTCCTAACATAGTTGTTGAGGACAGTTGTTGGTGGCAATTTTTATCGTTATGTTTTTCTTTATAGATCCATCCCGGCAGGTTCTTTCAGCTCTGGTGCTGTCTATAGAGTAGGAAAAGGACTAAATTCAGAACCGCAGTTCACTGGGTGTATTCAGGACATTACAGTATATCCTGAAGTGCTTATTGCTGAGTAAGTTACTAGGGAGTTAAAGCCACTGACACGCGTTAAGTGTATTCGCGTTCTTTGAACCTCATCAAGATTATTTCAACTCACTCATTTTGTCAAATTACGGTAAAAAGAAAGGAAATTAAAGGAGAATTTGTTGCTCTCTGTTCAAGCCCACCATGAAAAGTCGCACGAGAAAATTTCAGGTGATAGTCAGTCTGAGAGCCAAGAAATGTGTCATGAAGTGTAATGGACGTGCAAGGTTGCTGTTTTGCTCGTGAAATCAATTGCTTTTTTTGACGATGTTTTTCGCCGTCGCCGTCTTTGCTGCCAAAGCTCCCAATGATATTGTTGATCGCTTTTATCTTGACCCTCACCAGCGACACCAGGGTTGCTCATCATTTACACTACTAATCGATTGAAAATCGCATGCGTGAACAATTAACAACTAAATTTGTTCTCGTTCGAGAGAAGGATCCGCTTCAATGTTTATCCAAATCAGTGGGAGAGGCTAAAAAGAGTCGAAAAATCGCGTCGCCTCAATCAAATGGCACTTCTTGGTAGTACGCCTGTGATTCTGTCTAGCACATCCTCACTTGGAATAATATTGACATACCGGATAACCATAATCAAACGAAAAAAACAGATGGGTTTGATATTTTCAGTTCATCGTTTGCAGGGCTTGGAAAAGAAACTGAATTTTAGCTTGTACTTTGGATAAGACGCCCTCACATTTGCTTGTCCGGGACATTGGCTAGTTGTCGTAGTTTATGATTTAGTCACAAGATGACTCGCAGGCTTTAGGCAAGTGAGCTTAATAAGTTACTTGGCCAGTAAGAAAATCTACTTGTCGCGGTCGACCGGATGGGTTTTTTTTTCTTTTGGAGCCCAGGGTCATGCTTACGGCCTTAAGGGTGAAAATGGTTGAGTTCACGTATTCTCCTTTTTCCTTCTTAATTCTTCTTTTTGCATTCCTTTTTTTTGTTTTCAGTTCGATTGGAGAGATGGCAAAGCCTAACAGACAACTTACCCCTATTAATGGTTATTTAACTTTCAATCCTGGTGTTGCTGAACAGAAAGTCTCTATTCACACCGTTGACGACGACGATCCTGAAGATGACACGCCTTACACTGTTGTGTTGTACAGTCCAAAGGGAGGCGCTCGATTGGAGACTACATCTGCAGAGTTTAAAATGAGGCTTGAAGGTACGGTATAGGCAGAGAGGAGGGTGCCTGAGGGAGCGTGGCCGAGCGTTTAGAGTTTTGTCCTTCCGATACTGAGGCCCGAGTTTGAGGCCCGCCCTGACCGCTCTTCTGGATTTGTTTGTCAGTAGAACCGAGTTCATCTCACCAGCAAACCTTGTAAATAGGGAACTGGTTTGTCATCGACTAGTTGGGATTCTTACTTGTTTCATCATTTAAATTATTTGCTCCTGTCCTCGATGTAAACTACTGAGTTACCAGTAATTATATCACTTCTATGAGGTTAATTTTTATTAAATTGGTGGTTCATTCAAAGCCCTTCGTACCTATTCGCGACTGAAGAAGTAGGTTCTTTGAATGGATTTGCTGTTCGAATTGTTCGAAGATATTAACATTTTGTTGTCAATCTTGTTTTTTTAGTGCTCAAAAGCGACAATGCCAATGGCTTGTTTGGATTCACCTCCATTAACCCAGTAGTAATGCCGGAATCTTCTAATGTTTCCCTGAATATCGAGCGGCAGAAGGGTCAGTTTGGATCTTCCACTGTCAGCTGGAGTGTGTACAAAAGCTCTACTTCCTCTCTAGCAGTTAACGACTTTATTATGGCTACTGGTACCGTCGTCTTTGATGAAAATGAAAGCGAGAAGGTATACCAAATAATAATATAATGAAAATAACAATAACATTCTCTTCCATTTTTACAGGAAATGTTATCTTGGACCAGTATGAGTGAGGGCAGCCCAAAATGCCAACCCAAGGGGGGGGGGGGGGGGGGGGGGGGGGATGGACGGGTAAAAATGTTGACCTTTTAGCAGCGAGTAACACGAGCGAATGACAATACACAATTGATGCTTTGATTTCACGTGCGCCTCAACTCTAGAGGCGGGGAAGCAATCGGTCAAGTCGCACATTACTCCCATCAATTACCCGGATGATGTCACGCAACAGCAATCAACAACAATCTTTATTATAGAAAATGTAACACATTGTCCTTTGTGCGTTCTTATATTGCTAGCCTGTGTCCTGTGGAAACTAGAATAAAGACCTGTGTTTGAACGCCCACTATGGGGTAATACTTTACATTAGATAATTGAGATTTTAATAGCCAATTATCAGTGAGGTCGTTTTTTCCTGGAAAAGTTGTACATGTGTAATTTTCATAAGTATTTAAGCGTGATTGCAATATTACAGAAATAATACGTGCAATTGCCATTCTGAACGATTATTTAAGTATTTACAGCGTGTCTACTATAACCGGGGCCACCTAGACAAAGTTAACCAATCAGATTACAGAAAAACAACAGTACATTCCGAGGAGGTTAGTAGTCAATCATGATCGAAATAAAAACATCGATCCAAATCAACCAATTACAACCTGCAGACGCGACCTTTTAAACCCGCTGAAGAAAGCCGGTTTATAGTGTCACGCCATTCAAAATACATCAAAATAAAAATGAAAACCATTCAATAGATTAAGTACAGAATCTGGGAAATGAAAGGAGGTAAATATGCAAAGACCCTCGCCAAGATTAAAGATTGTGAAAAGCAATAATATTTTTGACTAGAGGTCGTGATGTTACTTCAAAGCTCGGCAATGGTAGCGAAGAAATGGCTGGTAGATGACAAAATAACAGCTTGGGTCAAACAATTATGTCTCCTGGGTGTTATGTGTCAAGTTTTGATCAGAAAACATTGTCTGGTAAAACATTTTGTTCCTTGAAAAACGTTTGCTATCAATATTTAAATTTTGTGCTTGGAGTAACTTATTGTTTTTTTACGAGCTGCTGATTGGCCCACAGCCAACTTTCTCGGAGTCTATTGTTATTTTCCTAAAACCCGATTGGTTAACTTTGTTTGAGTGGCCCCGGTTATAGTAGTCGCACTGTAAGTACAGCTTATTCAGAACACTTCCCTTAAAGTGAGAGTTCCTATAGTATCAATGCTCTCTATGGTCGATGATAGTATAGACAATGGAAATGACGTGATAGCGGTCCAACAGGTTTTTCTCTGGTTCCACTTGAGTTTTGAACACTTTATCTTCATTTCTATGATCGACAAGAGGCTAGACTGGGTGTCTCTAGTGTACATCGATTAAATATTTTGACTATTTGAATCTTTTTTAACTAGACTCTAGTAATTCCTGTGAACGATGACATGATTCCAGAAGTAGATGAGCATTTCACTGTCAATTTAACGTCAGTAGTACCAACAGATGGAAGCACCCCAACTAGTGCTGCAAGCCTTAGACCTGGCTTTACCGAAGTGAATATCACTATACAACAGAGCGATTACCCCAATGGACTGCTACAGTTCATGTCCAGTGTCCCGTTTACAAATGAAACAATATCACCATCAACTTCTCAGTTCAATTTGGATGTCAGGGAAAGTGCCGGGGTGCTTACTCTTCATGTAGTAAGGGCGCAAGGAACGCTGGGTACGTTAAAGTGATCAAGTTTGATTTTTAGGCCCGTCAAGATGTTTATTACCTCAATAACTATACGTTACAGGACTACACGCTGTCCAATTTGGTCAAAATTGTCGACAAAAAGATCCTCAATGGACTCAGCCAATAGTGTTGTCCGACTCTGGCTATCAGAGATTTTTTAATGCAATTATTTTTAACTTTGACTTGCGTGTAGTGCTCCTACTTATCGATTATATAGCTGGCCATTTAATTCAGATCTGTCATTGCAGGCGTAGCTGTTTAGCCGTTTGATGCTTTAACAATAAAATGATTTAGAAATGTTTATTCTAATAACTCATCATTTTTACGGGGCGTTCTTCATGTGTATACCGAGTGTTAATACCTTCTTATCGCTAAAGGAGGCTATACTTCATATAATTATTCATTCCTTAAATGTATTTCTACCAGGCAATGTCAAATGTCAGTGGAAGACGACAGCAGGCACTGCTAAGTCTCCAGAGGACTTTACTGGGAGTACAGGTGCAGTGGAGTTTGCTGCAGGTTCTCGCAACAGCACAATCAACATCACGATAATCGATGATAACATTCCAGAGCTCAGTAAGACCTTCAGAGTGGAATTGTTTAATCCAGAGGGTGGAGGTAGGCACGGTTGTTGATATTGTTCTTGATTTGTCATTATAAGTTCCTGTGGTTTTGGTTTCGTTGTGCTGTCAATAAAGAAATAACAACTAAAAAACGAAATAGAAAAGAAAATCAAGATTCACGAATTGGCAGGAAGCTTTAAAGATTGTGATGTTAACCAAAAAAAAAAAAATTCATGCTCCATACGTCGCGAAGTGATAAAGGTCGTGCACTAGATGGTGCATGGTCCGCTGTTCGTGAAAAAAAGAGAGCGCCTACAGACCAACTTATTGGTGCAAGACGTTTGGTCTTGTTCACCAATACTGGTCGTGTTTTTTTTTACATAAAGAATATAAAAGGAAAATGACTATTTCATTGTTTTTACCTCTCAAATTTAGCTCAACTGAATGCAGTTGCAAAGACAGCTCACGTGACGATCCTTCCCAGTGATGATGCATTCGGCGTTATCAGCTTTGCTCCAGATTCCCTGAGCCGCACGGTTAGTGAAGCTAGTGGCAGTACTGTACACTTAACTGTACAGAGGACAGGCGGCTTACTAGGACCCTCTACTGTATACTGGCAAGTGTCTGGACAAGGTGCCCAGGATGTGGAGAACACAAACGGCTCTGTAGTACTAGCAGTTTCTAGAAATAGTACGCAGATTGCTATACGGATCAAAGAAGATGCTGTAAGTTTTTTGTTACTTGATGTTTTATTGTAGTGCTTTTTTAACCCTCTAAGCCCTAAGAGTGATCAGCATCAAATTTCTCCTTGTAATATCAACGCTTTGTTAAACAGAGTGGTCATGAGAATTACAGACATGATCACACAAGATGAATTTGCTGGATATTTTATCTACGTCTCCCCACTACTTCTGTAGGAAAAGAATAGGGGCAACAAATGAGAATTTAAATTTTGATCTTAGGGTTTATAGGGTTAATTCTATTCAACCTTAAACTTTTACCTGCCAGCTTATTTTGATTGTTAGTAGACTGAATACCAGTGGAGCCACACAAACACGCTTGGCTATCGTGTCACATAACACTTGCTCAGCTATGGCCAACAGTTTGAGCAATGAGGAAATAAAGCAGTGTAGTCAAGTGTTTATGATTGAAATGTTCTGACTTGGTTTTATGTGCTTGATATGTTAGGATCCTGAGCTAGCTGAAAGCTTCCTTGTTCATCTGACGAATGTATCTGCGGGCCGTCTAGCAGATCGTGGAACTCAGTCCAACATCACCATATTAGCCAGTGACGATCCGTACGGTGTCTTTATATTCTCTCCTTCTCAACTCACAGTCGATGAAACTGACATAGTAGTAAACTTTATCATCAAGCGAATCTCAGGGACAAACGGTGTGGTGCTACTAAACTACAGCAGCATCAGTGAAGATATGCCCAACATGAGAATGGCTACGCCAAACGTGGACTATGTTCCTATCGAAGGTGCTGTTGAATTTTCCGAAGGACAAAAGAACGCTACCATTAGTGTTATTGTGCTAGATGATGCTACACCTGAAGCTGCGGAGAGCATCATGGTGAATATAACAGATGTGCAGCTGGTTGGAGGCCATCCTGTTTATCCATGTAAGATAATCTTTGCGATCTGCATTTAATGGAATCATGTTCTCTTGTTTTGTTTAGAGGTTCTGAGGATGACTTCTCCCAGCACCTCAGTTTTTAACGTGATATTCTGCTTTTACTACTAACTTGCCCTGAATTCTGAGTATTATAACAACACTCCTCAAATCTCTTAAATGTCTATTTTTAACCTCGTTTGTTCCTTGCTATTCCTTTTCAATTCTATCACATGAAAAATTTCATATTGTGTTGGTTAACTTCCTCTATCTGTCATTGCATACTGCTGTCTCTTTCTAAGATATCTTTGTCTTCGTATCACTGCTTTTCGCTGTTCTTTATGTCACTTCCTTCTGCTGGCTCTTCCTATCATTGCGTACTCCGTGCTCGTCTTATCAGTTTTTTCTGCTAGCTCTTCCTATCATTGCGTTGCCTTGGTTCTTCATGTCATTGTTGGTTTGCAGGCTCTTCCTATCAATGCTTTCCCCGCTATTGATATCATTAGGGACCTTTAGCATCAGGTTTTTCGTGGGAAACGGCAAACCGCAAAATGTCACGTGACCACGGCCTTGCGGTCACGTTTGCAGTTTGCAGTTCACGTTTGCACCGCAGGAAGGGCTTCCAGCGGTAAGTGATTTACGGCAAGGTTTTTTGCCACAAAAAATTGTACAGCCTCGCGTTTAAAGGTATGAACTAGCTTTTTGTATCCGTTTGCGATGTGTCTGTTGGATTTTTGATCTCGAATCAATGAATTATTGCTGAGTTTTGGGCGATTAATGTGATGCACTTCGACTTGATGAAAACAACATGGCGGCGCTAAACAATGAACGCGTAGTTCAAACCAAGTTTATATTCCTTTCTGGCGCACTAACAAAGGAAAGTATTCTGTTCCAATCCAGAGTTACATTTTTTTTTCTATCTTGTTTCTGAATTCATAACTTAACTCAGTCTCTGTTTGGTTCCTATTTTTAACGTATCACTCCGCGAATATCATTTTATTTTGCTTATCTCTTTTAGACTGGGGAGCCCAGGCTTCATAAAGCCTTCTGGTTTCTTCTGGGCTCCCTTGCAACCTTACAATTCCTATATGTATTCTTGTATTGTATTGTATTTTGGCTAAATAAAAATGAACTTAACTGAACTGAACTGAACGCCTTGCTAAAGTTTGAAATCTCGGCAACGCGAAACTGCAAACGCGTAACTGCGGTTTGCGGTCTGCGGTGTGCGGTTTACCTGATGCTAAAGGTCTCTATTGTCTTTTTTGCCGACGCAGTTTTCTTGGAAACTTAAACCCTTCATTGTTGTTGCAGTTGCTGGTGTTGCTCGGCTAGTCTGCTACACTGCCGTTTTTAGTGTCGTCACGTAACGCTCCTCCCCCAGGAGCATTGCGTGACGACACTAAAAACGGCTGTGTAGCAGACTATTGCTCGGCTGGCTCTTCCTAACATTATAATATCTTCCTATTAATCTTCGCAATGATAGGAAGAGCCATATCCATAAAGGCTTAACGTATTGCTGCTTACGTTGTTCACAGACGATTTCAAGTCATACACTTTTTTATTTTTGATTTATCTCTATTTTATCAATTCAGTTCCAGACAATTCACCTCGGGTTGGCACATCACGTGTGGCACAGCTTGTGATTAGAAAGAATGACAATGCAAATGGCGTTGTGCAACTGTCTTCAAATGCAGTCAGTGTCCATGAACCACATTCTGGGGCAATTGTAAATTTGACTAGAACAGCTGGTGACTTCGGCACTGTAAGTGAAATTAGCACCTAAAATATATGTTAAGTAATAATTCAGTGTATCTTTCTCTTATCTTGTTTTAAAGTTAAATTCAGCTACATACTCTTTACCCTTGAGCTTCAAAATGTATCAGAAGTTTGTCACTACGTTTTTTTTTTTTAGTTTTTATTTTGGAATATGATTGGCTAAAAAAGTTTTTAATTTCTTTAGATATATGTCGCATTTGAAGTTGTCGCACAATCTGCCAACGGCTCAGATTACCGGATATTGTCACAAAACGTAACTTTGGTGGAACAGCAACGGGTCGCTGAAGTTCCTGTGGAGATTGTTCACGACATGCAACCTGAATTTAACGAGAATTTCAAAATACGCTTGATTAGCGCATATGGCGGTGCTGTGCTTGGTTCCCAGCTGGAGTGTACTGTTACGATACTGGAAAACGACTATCCCTATGGATTGATTGGTTAGTATCTGTTAGGTACATGACTGGGTAACTTTTCTTATGCGTTATTGACCATACGTGTGGTAAGATGGTTGGATATTGGCCAAGTTATTTTTTGGTGTTTTTATGCACCAAGACGAAGTGGATCAGTTTAGGTTTCAGGAAGCTGCCCACCCACCCAACCCCTGACCCTTGTTTCTCACTGATCTGTGACTTAAGGGCAGAAACATGGGTTAAGGGTAGGGTAGATGGGCAGTTCCCCAGAAACCTAAACTGATCCGACGAAGTCGTGGTCAATAAAAACGCTAAAAAGAACGAGACTTGTATCCATCCATTCTGACCTAACAAGCTTGGTCAATAAAGGATGTATTTTATAGCCAAAAAAGAGCTTTTTCTTGCGGGACCAAAGCTAGAAATCCCGGCAAGATGGGCCCATGTGGTTTGGCTGGTTCTGGCGAGCTGGGATTTTTACTTGTTCTGTTTACTTCAATTTTTCCGTTTCTGTTAGATGTTCAGTAAGATGACTCTCCATTCCCTAAAAACGACCTTTCGTTTTTCATAGGCTTCGATAACGATTCTTTATCAAAGTCAGTCCAGGAGAGAAGTTCTCCCAACCAAGTAACCCTTCGTGTTATCAGGCGATTTGGTCTTCGTGGAGGATCAAGAATTCACTGGGAAGCACGACTTAGGGGGGTACTCGCATCTGATGATATTACCCCTGTCGAAGGCGATCTTGTATTTGCTCAAGGGGAATCGTCTCATAATATTGTTTTTGACGTTCAACCAGATTTTGTTCCCGAAGTCTTAGAGGTAAGTTTTTTTGGGGAAGGATTGTTGTTGTTTGAATAAAATGCCGTTCCCTCACGTTGTGTGTGGTGCAGTTTACGACATTGGCGCGAGAAGGTGTACATTTCATTCGGTGATTGGGAAATGAACGCACACTTCTCCCAAAAGGATCCAAGCCGCGGGAAAACACAACAAAGGCACAAAGAAAAGCTTTCTGATCATAGCCGGGCTTACAATATTTACTAATCCTCTGATTTCTATATTATTTTGTTTATTAAATGTGTCCATTTTATTTTGCTTTGCTTTGCTTTGTTTTTATTTTGCTTTTAGTTTTGTTCATTTTGTCATGTGTTTTTGTTTGATTTTACGTTTTTTTTTTGTTTCTTTTGTTTCATTTGTTTATTATTATATTGTTTACCCTCAACAGCCGTTGGACAACAGAACTGTAACCGTAAGCATGTAATAAAACTTGAATAAATTTTAAATGATAAAATAGTTAATAAATATAATGTCCTGTGATAGTGACTTTAAAACATAACAGCACAGACATAAAGTAACAACAATATAACAGCTCTTGGACGTAATAAATAGTGTTTACTTTTTAAAATAAAGAAATATAGCTAAAATCAACATGCTGGACATCAAAATCCCCGTCTTGTTGTTTTTGTTGGTAAATTTCTTTCACAAACTAATACAAGTTTTAAACTTACCGTGTAGGTTGAATGTAGGTTTTGTTTTGTGAAAAAGAAGGTTTAAAAAAATCCTCTTGACGCTACATAGTGCGTTAATCGAAGTGAACTCAACCATTTCTCTTTCTTCTTAACATTTATCAAAGCAGTTCGTAAACTCAACTGTTCCTAAAACTTAAGGATATTTAAAGATCTTTGTTTGGCTGTAAGGATAAAGCTGTCTGAAATCTTATTTGTAACCTTTTCCTAATTCCTAATTCTGTTTATGAATGGAATTGATATAACTGTTAGATTGTTACCCTAAAGTCTATTACACTAATGCGATTACAGTTACTGAAGTTAGACTTACAACAAATTGAAAATGAAGAAATGATCGTCGCAGGGACCGCAATTTATGCAATTGCGTAAAGAAGCCCGAAAAAAAAAATATTCAAGACTTCAACTGGGTCTGAACCCGTGAACAAATTGTTACTTAGCTGTAAAGCGTATTTCTGGCTTTAATTCGTGTACACATGTGTGGTATTCGTATGTTGATAAAACTCTATTTGTTTGTCCTTTAGAGATGCAAACTTGCAAATTTGTGATATCGTGAAAAGTGAGAAAAGATATGCATGCATAGGTCATTGCACAATCTGGTTTGATACAGTAGTGTTAGGGCATTTCTATACTGTTAACTGTGGAAGGCCTTCGTAGCAGAAAATACCCTATGACTTTTTTTGTATGTACTATGTACAGACTGAAATGCCTATCTACCGCAGGTTGACTGTGAAATGAACAAATCTTTTCTCTTTATCGTAGGTCATCGACGTCAACCTTACATCAGTGACATTTTTATCTGAGGGGACGCCCTCTCTAGACGAATCCACGAGAGTTGCACGAGTGCGGATTGAGCCTAATGATGCCCCCCATGGGGTGGTAGAGTTTGCTCAAGGAAATTACAATGTCTCCGAGGGAAGAACAGCGTATCTGTTGGTCTCAAGGCAGTTCGGCACAGCGGGCGACATCAGAGTCTTTTACAGGCATGTGTTTATTTCTTT